CGATTCAGTAATCATCATTCAGTTCATTCCGTTCTCACTTCGCGACAAGGCAAAAATATATAAAACCTCAAAATAGTATCTGTATTAAAAATTACGAAGTAAATCTTAAACACTTATTTCCTCGAAAAAATTCCAGAATGGATTAATCATGATTTGATTCGTAATAATAAAAGAAGGCGTTATCTTTTTTGTTGCGAAGCCTAGTTTCTCTATATTGGCCACAAATCCACTATTCTGCTAAGTTTCAAATGTAAACAAATATGGCCACCATGGCAAACGTAATTAGGCTTAACCGCACTTAAACAACTTTAAAATGGTTGAGAATTCTACAAATATTGCCTGCAAATATACTAAAGGCACTAAAAACCTTTGCGAAAAATGCGCAATTTACAATCATATAAGAGTAAATAACTGAGCTTACTGAGCCGGGTAATAGAATGGATATATATATAAATATATTTATACAAGTTTCGTGCGGCCGATTGAAACCAAAATACGAGGTGCACATCTACATGTTATAGCAGTCCTATATACAAAATTTCAACGTTCTGAGGCTACTCGTTTTTGAGTTATGTGAGATACATACATAAGTATAGACACCACGAAGAATTCTCTCCGGAATTCATTTTAAAGCAGTTATATATATATATATATATATATATATATATATATTGGAGGAAAAGTCTTTTATTCTGTCCTTACGTACAGATGCCACGTAAAAACATCGTTAAATTGCATTCGATAGCGATCAAAATGGATATTTTTGTTGAAATATGGTACCTGAAATTTTTCGCGATTACAATACTTCCTTTTTACTTCGTGAAAGGAAGTAAAAATTACGTTTCTTTTCAATGTATATTTAGTTTTATTTTACCAGAATGTTACCAGAAAGAATAGGAAAATTATCAAGACGAATTTAAATCCTACTGAAAGCGATAACACGTTGCTTTTTGCTATTAACTCTGGAATCTTGCGACCAGTAACTGAGTACCGTTAAAAACTGTTATTTTTCCAATGGCGGGTACCAACCATTATAGGTGCTGACCACAACTAAGGTCGGAGGTGGTGGTAACTTAATTATGGGAGCACCTAATGGCCGGGCCACGGTTACCTCGTATAAAGGAACAGACAATTTACATCCATGCCTTCTTCGAGATTCCAGCCTTGGCCCTCCGTCCGCCAGTCAGAGTCACTAACCACTTCTCTCATGGAAGGCCTTTTGACACATAAGACTTTAAAATAATACTTTTCTCTCTATAAGAAGCAGAAGTGCTTCTAAGCACGCACTTGAGAAGGGGAAAAGAATAAAAAAATGATTCGGTAGATGAGTAACGCAAAATGCATTGAAATATCCAAGAAAATTTAACTAGAAGCTCTGCAAGTCTGTAAAAATCTCATTTGAGCAAAACTCCTGTATGTAATAATCAAATACGAACCTGTTCTGCCATTAATTGCAGTCATAAGAAGAACTCAATGTATTCTGAAACAACCGAGCCCATCATTCTTAGTTTCCAGAAACTAATATTGTAATGAAATGTAAATGATTTTAGTGAAATTATATGTGAAATTGTATTTGTTTGTGTAATGTTACATAGAAATCTAGGGAGATGATGTTTTGCTTTTATATTTGTTTGTGTAATGTAACATGGAATTGGGAGATGATGCTTTGCTTTTATATGTGAAACTATTGTATTTGTTTGTGTAATGAATGTAACATGGAAATCTAGGGAGATGATGCTTTGCTTTTATATGTGAAACTATTGTATTTGTTTGTGTAATGAATGTAACATGGAAATCTAGGGAGATGATGCTTTGCTTTTATATGTGAAACTATTGTATTTGTTTGTGTAATGAATGTAACATGGAAATCTAGGGAGATGATGCTTTGCTTTTATATGTGAAACTATTGTATTTGTTTGTGTAATGAATGTAACATGGAAATCTAGGGAGATGATGCTTTGCTTTTATATGTGAAACTACGGTATTTGTTTATGTAATGAATGTAGCATGGAAATCTAGGGAGATGCTTTGCCGGGAAAGTACGAACACAGTCGCAAATCTGTTTAACATTAACGGCTATCTCGTTAAATTGGCGAGATATCACCAACTGGCGATATTTTTGGCGACAAATTTTTGTAACCAATTCGGCCATCATCTAGTGACATTTTGGTCTGTATAATTGCAATGGGTACTGAAATTGAATAAATGCAACTGATGCTGTATGTAGCTGTAACCTTACCCGGCCCTCGTATTTCGAGAAATGGAAGGTACTAGAAATCTCTCGGCGGCCGGGATAAAACTATATAAGACCGATGAAAGCATCAATCCTCAGTTGTTACTTCAGAGCGAGTTCGGAGTATTGAGATAACCTTAAGAACTTTAATAAGCTTAAGCCTTTAAATGCGCTTTGCATAGAGTTGTGTTTAATGTTCTTAGTAGTTCGTAGTGTGACTAATGATTACACTATGTAATGGTAATGAGAACAGCTGTACTAGTATTTTTGTTGGAAGTTTCAGAACTGTGAAGTGTTTTTTTTTTTTTGGGTAAAATATATTTTATCAAGCTATCAATGGTTCTGTGTGCATTCAATCTATTACGAACACGCAGGTACGGAACAATATTTTGTTCATTGTATTAATTCGTTATATTAGTTCTGCAAATAATATACATAAGGAACGCAGACTATTAACAAATCTTGAATTATTTTTAACTTCAGCAAAACTGTGTCAAATATCGTTGAATTCAATAGTCCTCATACGTTTCACGTATGCACCTTTGGTCTCTTAAATAGAGCTCTTTCTAAGCGCAAATTCATCACGATTGATGGAACCTAGAAAGTAGTGGATGAAAAATGAAAATCAATACCCGTCGAAATTTTGCGAACAGACTTTCTATGACGTAAATTACAGCGCACTGTGTAGAGACATTAGGTTATTTCGAGGCCGGAGAGATGAAAAATTAGCAACATCTTCGCCGGGAATCGAACCACGGAACTCTGGATACACGCCCAGTGTGCAGACCACCACACAACGAAGGCATGCCAAGAAGGCGGAGAAATACCTTATAGTTAAAAAAATGGCTATCAGATCTAACATTTGAATTTTTTTTTAATTATGTTCTTTATGTCTGTTTGTTTGAAGGTGTTGTTTATGGCTTGCTGTGGCGCAGCCGCAAAATGTCTGCTAGGAGGGTCGGGCTGCCTTCCTCATATCATATCATATCAGATCTAACATTTAATACTCTTTACATTTGGGACATGAATTAAACTTTCTGATATCGTTCTAAAACTATGTAAACATCTTTGATTTACAGAAAATGTGCATGTATATAAGTTACCTTATAAAATATGGCCAAGGCCTTAAAATATAGCCACTGTGCAAAACGACCCATTCTTAAGCCGAAGTACGACAGACAAAGAAATTTATTATCACTTCAAAAAGTAATTATTACACTTCTGGACCAACGTTCTTAGATTTAGAAAGAAACAGGGAAACAGTTTAAATTTAGAAATTACCTTTATTTAACTTTTAAGATTTTCCAGAAATGTTGAGATTTTGGGTCTGTTTTTAAAATAAAAATGCATATTTACTAATTAATGATGTAACTTACAAAAACTACATTTTTTTGGCATTAGTATTATCGCTAGCACATTATTAGAAATCTCTGTGACATATTCTTTGCACCATAAAAACAAAAGAAAATAAAAATAAAGAAATGTTTTTTTTTTTTTTTTTCAAAAAGACAAAATTCCTTTAAAATAATTAAAGATGAATATAGGATAATCTTAACACTATATTGCATTTCGACTTTGGAAGAATCACAATGTACCATATCAAATATACAAATAAAATGTATACTCGAAATATACAATAATAATTTTCACACTGTGATTGTCTACCTGTTGCTGATTAATGGTCTTGTATGTAATCAGGGCCCATAGATTTAATTTAATTTGAACTACCTAATTTGTTGAATTGCCCTGTATCTGTGACATATGGCTTCATAGCCGTTACTATCAGGTCAGTGCACATAGGCCAGTACTCTCATGTCACCTCAATCCTTAAGATATACGGCCCACCAGCGGCCGAGCGGTAAAGACGCTGAACACTGGTAGTTCGGTCTGAGGTTCGAATCCCGCGAACGGGCATGGCTGCATGGGCGTTTTCGTGGTTTTCCCCGTGCGTAACGTGTATACGAACCAGTTTCCCTTAGCAAGTCCTCCACGAAGGCATCCCTCCCTTTAAGCAGATAGCCCTCGTGTGCTTTGCCATAATTGAATAATCCAATCCAATCCAATCCTTAAGACATACAATGATCAACCTGTATGCAATTAAGTTTGAAAAACATCCGTGTCCCTGAATTTCATTTAATTTAAAAATCTATCCAAATACATTTTCTAAATTTATCTCTTCTGGTCCTGGTTAGATGAAAAGAAACGGTTCGATAACTGGCCAACTTCGGAATTTCTATTTTCCAAATTACGCATTAAAATTTCTTTAAAATATTTTAGCTCGATAATGACTTTTTAACTTGATCAAGACCTTAGCACAGAAACAAAACTGTCAGGGAGCAGAAGATAATTTTTACTTTCAAAAATACAGTTGCAGTTAAAAAAAATTTCCTAGCATACGCCTTTTATTTATAGCAGAGCAAAATCATATAAAAAAAATGTGCGAACAGCCTGCGTATATAAATAGACCATCAACTTATGAAAATATAACGTAATATGATATGGTATTCTTAGTAATTCTTATTAAAAAATCTGGGTTCTAGTGATGAGATGAATACTTTTCTCCATTATTATGTTATTAGCGGTAAATCAAAATTCTCTCAACTTTATTTAAAGGGTTTAAAATACGGTGAAGGAAAAAAAAAAACGTATTTGCGACAGGGTTAATAACTATAATGATAAAAATCGGTGTTCTCAATAAAGATTTGAGTACATTTGCTTTGTTGTTAAAAGAAAAATCTTAAATTTGTCTAATTTTCTTCCCTTCCAGACCTCGTCTCGTGGTGCAAGATGGCAACCTCATCCTTCAGAGTGCCTTCAACCGCAATGTCAGCCTTGCCACGAGAGGTCAAGGCAGCATCGTTGTCAACAATGCGGATCTGGGGAGTCTCGTTAGCTCGGTGAGTATTGTAGATGACAGAGTGTTTCTTCCTGTCATAAATATTCCATTCACATGAGAAATAGACTTTCTTAACGATTTACGTATAAAAGCATACCAGAAAGAACAATTGTAATTAGTTAACTAGTGTATTATAATAACGTAAAAACATAATTGACAAGAACATGCATATATTTTTATGTAAAAATGAGTAATTTTTTTTTTTTTTTTCAGTTCAAAACGACGTAGCACGAATGGGTTTTTTAGTGTGGCAATGGGATTATAATTAGTTAACTAGTGGATTATAATTAACTAGTGGATTATGTTAATTTTATTAACAGTTAAATTTTAAATTAAAGTTCCTTTCCTGTCAAATTCTTAACTTCAACTTCCTACTTTCGGCCAGAACGTAGTTTTGGAATCTTTCTGAATACTTAATGAGGAGGAGCGGTATTTAAACCGCGAAGTTACTTACAGAGGGAGAGAGAATCAGAGTTTCTGATTTACGCGCGTCTGCCTTTTGGCCACTCTCTCTCAAAGCTCTTATTACGCTCGGCCGTACTCAGGCCCTTGTCAAGCTTCGTAGTCAAATAAAGGGGCCAACTCGATTAGATCTTGATAGCTTCGGCTATATTTCTTTTTAGTTAAGCTTAGTTTTAGTTTAATTTTTAGTCTCTAAAGTTCAAACCTAAGTGTCGGCTTGTACACTTCAAGACGGAGTGTTGTTAAATCTTATTCGAATAATAAAGGGTTAGTTACCCTTCCATCTTGTTGTTTCTTGTCACACGAACTTAAGCGATTATTCGCTAACTAGTTCTTAAGATTCGTCACTTTCTACAGTAACTGAGAATTATACCAGTGAAAATCTTACATTTTCTAATCGAGTTGGCCCCTTAACTTTATTTAACAACGAAGCTTAACAAGGGCCTTGTGCAGGCAAGCCTCCACATTTATTCAACACCAAGTCTGTTCATTGCAACCGCTCAGTGACAAAGCGAGATTGACCACTACAACCGGTTTTCTTTCTATTCTGCTGCTAGACTTCGAAGAGGTAGGACGTGCTTCTATCCGTTCTCACCGCGGATGATGCGTGTCTGCAATTTGTTCTTTTTCGTGCTTTTCTGACGACCATCTCCATATAGTTTGAAGAGAATGCATTTTGAATAGAAATCGGTACTGAAGATTCAACTAAATTTATCTAGATGCTGACTTCTGCAGTAAATTAATGATGTTCTACGACTTGAGATATCCTCGAAAGGAATTCATGTGCACGTGTTGCACCTTGGTGCGAGAATTTGCCTTGTGTTTCTACAAAAATATATTGGAATAACCAGTCAACTCAATTTCTTTCGTTATAAAAATTGAATTTTGTTATCATGTAACTTTCTGTAACGAAGATGAACTGAGATTTACTTAGAGTGGAATATTACGCATTTCTTGTGCGAAAGGTTAGGACTCATTGGTAGGATTAACATGTACTGCAGTTGCATTACCACTGTCTATTGTCTTCTGTCTGGTGATGTTTTCTTGATTTATAGTAGTATTAATTTAAAATTTCACGATGTCAAGATATAATAAATTTCTCGTAATTCACATTCTTTGGAGGTAAGTTACTTTAATTCCATATTTTTATTTCAGATCACACATTTCATCCTGCACGTCATCCAGTATTTCTGGGTTATTGCGGGCCCACCATAATATATTATTATTACAGGCCTGAGTACGGCCGAGCGGAATAAGAGCTTTGAGAGAGAGTGGCCAAAAGGCAGACGTGCGTAAATCAGAAACTCCGATTCTCTCTACCTCTGTAAGTAACTTTGCGGTTTAAATACCGCTCCTCCTCATTAAGTATACAGAAAGATTCCAAAACTACGTTCTGGCCGGAAGTAGTAAGTTGAAGTTAAGAATTTGGCAGGAAAAGATGTTTAACTTAAAATTTAACTGTTAATAAAATTAACATAATCCTTACAACGTTAAGACATAATTGAAAAGAACATGTATATAAAAGAAATAGTAAAAGATAATAAAAGAAAGAGTCTGTGTGTCTTTCGTTCGTACTGCGCGTAAGCTAATAGACCCAGGTCTACGAAATTTGGTATATAGGTGCATCCAAACAAGACACAGTGCACCTCGAAACGATTTTTCAAAATTCGAATCAGATTTTTTTTCATTTTAGCTTTTCGATTTTATCGCATCATTTTGAATAGTTTCATTCTTTTAGAAATGTGGTTTTGCCAACAGTTTTTCATTCAATTGTATACTGGACTGCTGACTGTTGAAAATCAGCACTGTTGCCGCTAGAAAAAATGAGGGCGATCATTCTGCGCAGTTTTTAAATTTAATGTTTCTCTTGGATACTGGACGTTTGTCGAGATAAAAGGCAACGGGAAGTTGATTAATTTATTTATTAGTATAATTAATATTTGTATTAAGGGATATTGCTTATTTCAGTGTAATTTTGTTATACGCAATATATTTTTTTTTTAATTTGTGGGTTTTTTTTATGAAGTTGTTCTGCAGAGTAAAATTCTGCGAAGTTTTTAAATTTAATGTTTGGCATTCGAAACGTTAAATCCCTTCAGGCATTTTTCCGTTACATTTAAAAGCCAGACGAAGGCTGGACGCGTAGTTGCTAGTATTTTTATATAGAAACGAGTTTTTTTTTTTTTTTTCCCCAAAAAAAGCATTTGCACGAATGGGCTATTTAATCTGGAAAGGGGATTATAATTAGTTAACTAGTGTATTATAATAACGTTAAAACATAATTGGCAAGAACATGTGGATATTTTTATATAAAAATGAGCAAGTTTTTTTTTTTATCCCCAAAAGACGTTAGCACGAATGAGCTATTCAGTTTGGAAAGGGGATTTGCATCGTCCGCTATAAACAGAGAATCACTTTTCAAATTGTTGCCACCAAATACTGTTCGCTCAGTATTATCTTTAAGGAAATTAAATAACTAAGAATCTGCGTAAATGTATGCATGTTCTTTGCATTCTGAAAAAAAAAAAAAAAAAAAAAAAAGACAGTAGCCATTAAATTTTGAATAACGTTATCCTGCACCTAAACGCGTGCACGTAGTAGATACCCGGATTGTGAATTTCGAATCTTATGTTTCATATTTTGTAAAACCTTAATGAATTTTTGCTTAACAAACTGAACGATTTGAAAGTGATCAGTGGCAACACAATACGGAATAAAATAGTTTTATCTCCAGCGCGATAGACTGTCTATCTGAAATTCCAAAGATAATGTTATTTTTAGACATTTTGCGAATTTGTTGTTGAATTAATTTTATGTGGCTTAATGCAAAGAACGTGATCTTAATAAATAAAGTTAACACACGAAACGTCAATAATAAAAAGACAAAAAATGTTTTGCAAGCCATGATACACTGAGAAACTATATATTTATATGATACACTGAGATAAAACTATATATTTATATGATACACTGAGGTAAAACTATATATTTATATGATACACTAAGATAAAACTATACATTTATATGATACACTGAGATAAAACTATATATTTATATGATACACTGAGGAAAGACTGAAAAAACAGAAAAATGTATGCCAACACTTTAACACTACATCTGGAATTTTAAACACAGGCTGTGTTTAAAATTTTTGTAATATTGTTGTTGAACTGTATAGCGCGCAAATGCAAAGAAAAGTGTGCTTAATAATAATGGTACCGGGAGGGAGTGCAATAGCAGACTTATAGACTGACGACTCAGCGAGAGCGTAAAAAACCTTAACAAATCCTTTTGGACGATCGTTATTACTGAACTCTTTCAGATTTTTTTTAAAGCTGGAATGCAATTAATTAAGAGAATATTACGAACCCAAGTTTACCTTTGGATAAGTATGGGTTACAAAGGTTGACGTCCAGCCGTACAGAAATTCTGTATATATATATATATATATTTGCTTTCTTAAAACTTGACCGATAATCAACTGACTGAAAGCTGTGGTATATAACTTAATCATAATCGGACTTAAAGCTGCCGCAGCGCCAAGCATCGCAAGCGCGCTAAGTAGTTGTAAACCAAAACTAAGACTGGAATGAGAGTGCTTGTAGGGGATACGTGTGTAAGCGAAGATGATATCCTTTGTATGTAATAAAATAGCATGTAGTTTAATACAGTGTCTTGTGAAATTATTACCTACCAAGGATATACAAACGAAGCCCTATGAATAACATAAAAAACGATGAATACACGTTTGAGGCATACTTATATGGGTCAGATTTTGCTTTTTTTTACTTCCTTGTACGAAGTAAAAAGGAAGTATCGTAATCGCGAAAAGTTTCAGGCAGCATATTTCAACGAAAATACCCATTTTGATCGCTATCGAATGACATTTAACGATGTTTTTGCTTGACATCTGTACGTAAGGACAGAATAGAAGACTCTTTTCCTCAAAAAAAAAAAAAAAAATGTATATATATATATATAACTGCTTTAAAATGAAATCTGAAGAGAATTTTTCGTGGTGTATGTATCTCGCATAAATCAAAAATGAGTAGCCTCAGAACGTTGAAATTTTGTATATAGGTCTGCTATCACATGTAGATGTGCCCCTTGTATTTTGGTTACCATCGGCCGCACCAAACTTGTATAAATATATTTATATATATATCCACTCTGTTATCCGGGTCAGTAAGCTCAGTTTCTTTACTCTTATATGTTTGTAAATTGTGCATTTTTTTTTTTGCTTTAAAAAGATTGAATTATGTCGAGCTTATCTTCCGGTTAAGGTTTTTATGCCTTTAGGATTTAGGATTTAGGAACGGGTAAGACGGGCACCACACCTTTACCATTTGGTTAATTGGTTTAGCGCCGTCTCCCCACAACGTGATCCCAGCCGTTTATTGATATTAACAAGCAGATACATAATTTGAAATGAATACAAAATTGGAATGATACATAATTGAAATGAATACATAATTTGGAATGATACATAGTTTGGAATGTAATACAAAAATTTGAAACATAATGTGTAAAATAGCATAATTATAAACGTACAGAATTTTGAATGTAATACAAAAATTTTAAACATAATATATGACATAACTCTTTAAAACATGTGTGGAATTTTGAACGTAATATGTTTTATGCCTTTAGGAAATCTGTAAGCAATATTTGTAGAATTATCAACAATTTAAAAGCTGTTTAGGTGCGGTTAAGCCTAATTTTTAAATAACATGGCGGACATGTTTGTTTACATTTGAAACAGCATTTGAATTGTTGCCAATCTAGAGAGACTAAGCTTCGCAACAACAAAGATAACGCATTCATTTATTATTGCGAATTAAATCATGCTTAATCCTTTCTGGAATATTTTCGAGGAAATAGTGTTTAAGATTTACTTCGTAATTTTTAATATAGATATTTCGAGTTTTTATGTATTTTTGCCTTGCCGCGAAGTGAGAACTGAATTATTTGAATGAGAAATACTGAATCGTCTGTGAAAAACTCTTTCTTTCTTTCTTTCTTTTTTTTTTTTTTTTTTTTTTGCTTAATTTCTTTTATACATCGTTCTAGATTTATTATGCTTTTTGAATAGAATATGTGACAACGATTAAATAATTCTTCAAATGATATAAATTTTGTGCATTATGAGTTATAATATGAACGAAGTATAACGCTGTTAAGTGAACCTAGCGCCAAAGTGTCGCTATAGTAAACAAATATAGTGAATTTTAAAGAGTGCATTTATTCTATTGTGGTTTATGCGCTATCAACGAAGTAGATTTAATTCAATCCAATGAGTTTAAATGAAATGCAAGAAAAAATGTGTATAATTTAATATTCAATACAAGGAAGCCATCTGGTGTACACATCAGAATTATTTAATGAGCTAAACTAGAGAAAAGAAAATTTTAAGAATGAATGAATCTAATAAATGTTACAAAATTTTCTTTCAGGCCCAGTCTGGCGGTACTTTAATCATCTTCTATAGTAAGTATTAGTCATAATTTATTCACCTAAGTTAAATAATCTTTACATATAATATAACAAAGAGTCTGTCTGTGTGTGTGTGTCTTTCGTTCGCGCTGCACGTAAGCTAATAGACCCATGTCTACGAAATTTGGTACATAGGTGCATCTAGACAAGAGCCAGGGCACCTCGAAGCGATTTTTTCGAAATTCGAATTCGAATTTTTTTTTATTTTATATATTTTGTGACGAAATCGCGTCATTTTGAGACATAATGGGCTATAGGAAAGCGAGATTTTACTCTACACACTGCATTTTCACATCGTCATGAAACGTAGGCACTTAGCTATTTTACGAACTTAAAATAATTTTCGTGTTTCAATAAATCGATTAAATACGAATTTATTTAACAACGTGAGCTTAACACCTTTTCAACGGGATTTTTTCTAAAAAACTTTTTTAAAAAAATGTACAGTTTATTTTTCTTTGATTTTTGGACACGTTAAACTTTCCTCCTTGAGACTGCTTTTACAAAAAAGAATTTTGGAAAAATAATATTTTGTATTTAAAAAAAAATTTTAAATGAAGCTTCCGAGTACACTTCTCACATCTTTAAAAATGTTATTTTGGCAACAATGTTCCTGTCTTATTGCTGGTAATAGATTTTTGATGAAATCGCAACATTTTCAATAGTTTCATTCTTTTAGAAGTATGGGTTTGGCAACAGTTTTTCATCGTATTTCTAATGTCACACTGTTTTTTATATAAATATATATTTCATTGTCATTTTTACATACATATATTACATTTTTATTGATTTTTTTTTTTTTTTTTTTTTTTGATAAAGTTGTTCTGTGGAGTAAAATTCTTCGCGGAATTTTATGTTTTTTGAGTTGCTTTCATGTTATTTTTTGCTTATTTCACTGTTTGTAAGATATTGAAAAGTTTTGCATGATTTTTTTCTTCAACAGAAACTTGGTTAATTTTTTATTAGGATAATTAATACTTGTATTAAGGGATATAGCTTATTTCATTGTAATTTTTTTCTCTTGAAAATATGAGATAAAATATCATTAATTATACTTTGCTTTCCAGAATTTTTAGTTTTTTGTATTCTTTTATGTTATTTATTACTCATTTCACTGTTTTTAGAATATTGAAAAGTTTTGAGTGATTTTTTTAGGAAACAAAGTTTTTAACCTCCTTTATACCATTTGAGTTCTTAAGATTTTGCAAGGGGAAGTTGGTTAATTTATTCATTAGGATAATTAATATTTGTATTAAGGGATATTGCTTATTTCACTGTAATTTTGTTATAGGTAATAACTTTTTTTTATGAAGTTGTTCTGCAGCGTAAAATTCTACGCAGTTTTTAACTTTAACGTTCGGTGTTTCCTTCAGCCATTTTTCAGGTAAATTTAAAAGCCAGACGAAGGCTGGCAGCGAAGCTGCTAGTGAATTATAATTCGTTAATATCTATTTAGGTATGCAATTTTCATACGTTTATGAAGAATTCTAAGCTAAATGTTTCGCTGTAAAAGGAGAGAGGACTAATGTCGCGATTTCGGCTAATGAAAAAAGCAAATTGAATTTCATCAGTCGGATCAGTAGGATAAGAGATACAGAAATGTCCCTTTTTTTGTGTGTGCAGAATGTACGTGGATATTCCGTGTTAATATCGCATTTAACTACTTTTAGTATGACTGATTTTAGTAGACTACTTCTGATTATGGAAGAAAAGTTTATTATATAGCTCTGTGCTTCTTAAAATTTCCATTGCATGTTGGAGATGTTAGGTCGTATCATGATGTATGTTATTATGTTACTACAAGGGCGAAGCCAGCTGACGATTCAGCCATAAAGCCTTTAGAGGCCAGCCCGTCGTAAAAACGGAACAAAAGAAAATAATGAAAACGACTGATGGTGGACAAGAAGCCATTCAAGGCTCTATCACCAGACATAGCAATCGCACAAGACATGTATATTCTGTACATGTACACTGTGAAAAAAAAAAAATGGAACAGTTCGATATTTCTCTTTGGACTGTTTCGATTGATGCGTTTTTCAATTCAAATTGCGTTTTTCGCGTCTCGACAGCTCGACTTAGGATATACATTAGATTCATATACAGCATCGTTTTAATATAGGTATTTTGACACAAAATAGGACTTTTTTTGAAATAACAGGACAATTGTTTTCTATATTTCAGTTCTACGAATCAAATTATGCCTAAATATAAAATATTGGAAAATTTGGTGCGAAATTTACGCAGAAATTAAACAATTTATGTTGGCGCATTTTTTTTAGTTTGCGCCAAGAATAAAATTAACGTTTGAACTGCTATAGAAACCTATTTTCCTTTCTATTTTTTTTTCATTGTAAACGAGTATAAAAAAGTCATCGTTCTTTATTTAAAGTAATTGTAACAAAGTGCGTAAACCATATTTGTCGTTATTATCGCTTATAACAAACATGTCAAATTTCAAAACGCGCCAATATGTAAATTCACTTATATCCTAGGAAGTTTGGAATAAAGAACTCTAATTTTTGCAGGTATGCTTAGAAATACGTCTACTTTAGAATGATGGTAAAAATTTTATAAGTTATATTTCAAAACGTTTTTCGAAAAATTTGCAAAAATTATTTAAAAATACAAATTTTAAAAGTAATTCAAAAAAAAATGGGCAACTTTTATTTGGAATAAACCTAAATTTCGAATTCAGGAAGAAGGAATCAAGTAGGTTTAATAAAAAAGAGATATTAATGAATATATACCAAATTCAATTAACATGGAGGAGCGAACGTTTTGATAGCTACTTGTTTAAAAACTACTCGTGCGATTTTTACAAAGCTTGATAATTTGGCATAATATGAGTCGTAGAACCGATACATGAAATAAAATTGGCATGTCATTTCAGAAACAGTCCGATTTTGTGTCAAAATACCTATATTAGAACAATGCTATATATAAATCTAATACATATCCTAAACCTCGCTTTCGAGTCATGAAAAACGCAAGTTGAATTTCGCAATCGGCCCAGTAGAACGGGCAATATAAAACTGTTTTATTTATTTATTTTTTGGCGCAGTGTATATTCATGTATACACTGCACTCCTCCCCCAAAAAACAGAAATCAAATGTGACCGTGTCTCCCAGACTGCCCTGGTAGAAATGGCAGAAAATCCACCTCGATTGTTTCATGTATAAACAAGTTCAGTTTTCGTTAATAATTCTTTCTTATCTTTAAACATCAGCTTCAAAAATAAGGGCTTGTTGATTCTCATCGATACTTTACAAATCGTACAAATTTTTTTAGTCATTTGACGCTGACAGCATCTAAAAAATATCATGTCTGCCTATTAATGGATACTAATTCTTTTTGAGTTCGTACGATGGTGTAATTTTCAAATATAGATTCATTATAAACTATGGACATAGTACTACAAATCCTACTTTACTTCTGTTTTAAGAAAAAGGAATTAAAAAAAGCATACTATTTTTAAATGGAAAAAGTAATTTCACTTATTCAAAATATTCAGAACTTATTCAGAATTCATATACTAAATGAACAAAAACTGGGAGGTATTAGAAATATCTTTAATATTTGAATAAATCTATTGTCAGCGTAACATTCGTTAAAAAGGTTGCGACGTGTTCATATGTGTATTGTGCAACTTTGTTTACAGTAAATTAGTTGTTTACAGTAAATCAAAGATGTACTTCAGGACACCAATATATTTTATAAATTACGAAACATTTCAAAGAAAACATATATTTCAAAGAAAGATATATATTATATTATAATATATATATATATTTCAAAGAAAGATATATATTATATTATAATATATATACATATATATTATATATAATATATATCTTTCTTTGAAATTCAATATTCAAAGAAAATATATTTATATAAAATAATAATATTTCAAAGGAAACATTAAAAAGTATAAAAATGATGATTTGAAATTATCAAAACAATGTTGCTGATACTAGCGTGAACGTATGAAAGCCAGCATTCCATAGTATACCTAGAAATTATATAGAATGCCTAAAACCGGTTGGCAAAGTATGACACGATTATCATTCCACATATTTCCTAGGCATTCTGTAGAATGCTAAATGACAAACTGAAGAAGTATGAAATAGATACCATTAAATTGATATTAACTTTTAATAAAAAGTAAACGTAAATGCTTTCAAAATAAAATTGGTAAAAGTATATTTTAGGGTACCCCTTGGCGAAACTTGGCGATTTTTGACGGTACATGGATACCGAATTTGTGCAAGTCTTTGACTTGTCATTTTGGCTTGCGTAGAGGCGATTTTTCCGCCAAAAGTCACCGGTACACAAAGCCAAAACAACAAGACAAAGAATTGCACAAACTCGGTACCCATGTACACATCGACCTATTTTCACTTTCCTTTGATAGTGGCAAAAAAAATCCATCCCTATCGTAAAAATGCTGTGACTATCCAGTTTCACCGGATCACATACTGGGTTGCATCGGACTTTTAAGGGGACTTAACATCCGATCCTCTCACTGTTATTGATATTTTTTGGCGGTCCTTCTGGAGCTGATCTGACATATGTCAAATCTTTCGAGGATAAGCAACAACAACAACAGCATAAAAGCGTTCTTTTATACATTTTGAATAATATATTTTAACATAATTGAATAATATATTTTAACATAATTGAATAATATATTTTAACATAATTGAATAATATATTTTAACATAATTGAATAATATTTTAAATATTAATTTTTTTTATTAATTTTAATGAGTTTTTTATCATTTTTTCTAAATAACATTTGGATTTGTCTAGAATGTACAACTTTTAAATAAAAGCCTCCTTTTCAGGACCTTCTTTTCATAATTTGCCTAAGTACCATTTTTCACTCTGTAGAATGCCTAAGTATCATTTTCACAGAGGCATTGCAGGAACTAAACTTTAATATCAGTAAAGTTGTACAACTAACTAAGTATAGAACTAAGGCCTTAATGCCGTTATACCAAGTGCAAATTTTTCCGGATAAAAACCTGGAAGAGATATACAATATTAAACACCTTATGTGCTTTAATGTCACTGTAGAAAAGTATATAGCCAAAAACCAGGTTCCACAATGCCATAATTGCCAGAAATGGCATTATTCTTCTGATAACTGTCATGTTGCACCTAGGTGTGTCAAATGTGCAGGATTCCACAAAACTGGCAATTGCGATAAACCGGGGAAAATAGAAAATCCCGTCTGTGTAAATTGCCTTAGACCACATGTGGCTTCTTATAGAGGGTGCCCCAGGTTCCCTACATATAAAAAAGTCAATAAAAATGTTAATACCAAGCCAGGAGTTAGCTATGCCCAGGCAACTAAGAATTCTATCAAAACCAGCAATGCCTCTGCCACAAGTGTCTCTGCGGATGCGGGTCAGGCAAAAAAGCAATACTCTCAAAAGGCTGACTTATCTATTAATGCAAGCAAGATAAATGTCACTTATGAAAATGGTCCTAAACCTATACCTGAAAATGTAAACACTGGTAAGAAAAATATTAGTAGTGGTAACAATGATATTTTTGAACTAATGAATATCATGAAAGAAATTGAAACTATTTTTGGATGTAACATAAGTAAAATAATCAATGTTTACAAAAGTAAAATGCCCGAACTCAGAAAATGTGAACACATTCTGGACAAGATCCAGGTTTTGCACATCATACTAGAAGAAATTCACGGGCTAGTTAATAATGAGTAATTATGACTAATGATCTTATAATTGTAACATGGAACGCAAATGGATTACTCCACAAACTTGATGAACTACGCATTTTTGTAAATGAGCACTGTCCGGACATTTTACTCCTACAGGAACACAAGCTTAGTCCACACACGAACGTCCAGATTGCCAACTACTGTGTCTACAGGCTCGACCGTGAGAGGACTAATAGCCATCCAGGAGGTGGACTTCTAATCCTCGTCAAGCGCTCCATCACCCACCACCACACAACACTGCCACAGCTTTTAGGCCTCGAAGCCATAGCTATCACAGTCACCACACTCACCTCACACCCACTCACTGTTATCTCTGCCTATATACCCAGCAACAAAAGATCACAAGCAAATATTGCGCAGGATTTTGAAGCGCTATTCCAACTTAACAGAAAAACTGTTATTGGCGGAGACTTCAACGCACACCACCGCGCATGGAACTGCAATTGATCAAACTACCTAGGCTCTGTAATTCACCGATTTGCCACTGAGGCAGGTGTTACCATTGCAGCTCCAGACACCCCAACACGCTACAATGCCAGATCAGCTAATGTCTTGGATTTTTCTTTCTAAAAGGCTGCCACCACAGATCTATTCAAACTCTCACCGAGTTATCCTCTGATCATAATCCGGTCATGATACAGGTGGGGACCTCTGTCTGTAGCACACCACACAAAAAGGCCTTTATTACTAACTGGGCGGGATATGCCAAAGCCTTAAACAACACCCCACTACACATTCCAACAGCCACCACGGGTGATGAGTTAGATGCTTTGGTCCAAGAATTCACCACAAACTTAACTACTGCCCTGGATGCAAACAGCACTCCAGTCTCTCACAGGCACAAGGCAACAGATTCTGAACTGAAGAAGCTCATCCAGGAAAGAAATGCTGCCAGAAAGGTTTGGCAAAGATATCGTTTCCCGGCTGACAAGACAACCCTTAACAGACTGAACCATCTGGTCAGGACTCGTACTCACCAACATACACAACGAGGCTGGACCAACTATCTCACTTCCCTTTCAGCAGATCAAAGCTCTGTATGGAAGGCGACTGCTAAGCTTAAGAGATGCCACACCAATATTCCGCCCTTAAACATATTGCCCTCACAGAAATTGAGAAAGCTGAGACTAGCTGAGTCACTATCTGATCACTATGCTTCTCAATTTTGCACACACAACAACAGAATATTGCCTCTCACCGAAATCTGAGAAAGCTCTCAATACAGAACACCTTGGTTAACACCACACTAACAGAATTCCTCTCAAAGCCACGCAACGACCACACACGAACAACTCCAACAACTACTCCTGTCAAACCCTCAGAGGTCTATGGCTACATCGAAAAACTTCTGGTTAAGAAAAGCCCTGGCATAGACAAGATTTCTAACAAGATGATCGGATGTATGGGAATCCTCATGCTGCTGAAACTTACATCCATCATCAACGACATGCTAAGACTGGGACATTACCCAATGCTCTGGAAGACTGCATTTATTATACCTATCCTCAAGCCTGGAAAGCCTCCTGCAGAACCAGCCTCCTACAGACCAATTAGTCTTCTGTCCTCGCTCCGCAAGGTGGCGGAGCACATCATCCTGACAAGACTCCAAGTCTACATGGACCTTAAAAATGTCATCATTCCACAACAACATGGTTTCAGGAAGAAACAATCCTCTGTCCACCAGCTGTACCGGGTGACGGAATACATCTCTCAAGGACTGCAGGAGCGGCAGACCACAGGTGCCATCTTCCTTGATGTAGCTAAGGCCTTTGATCGTGTCTGGCTGGAGGGCCTCATGCACAAAATTATCTCCCTGGGTTTCCCAGATTACATTACATTACATACAGCCATCACAATACTCCTATCTTAAGGATAGACACTTTGTCGTTCGTGTGTAAAACAACACATACTCAACCTCACGGCTATCAGGGCTGTGGTCCCACAAGGGAGCCTCCTTGGGCTCATCTACTATAATATCTACACGAACGACATCCCACAAACACCACACACCACCCTGGCTATGTACGCCAACGACACGGCAATCCTCTCAAAAAATGCATCTCCTGGTCCAGTTATACAAGCACTACAAGCGCACATCCACACACTCGAGTCCTGGCTCACTGCCTGGAAATTTAAGATCAACGTGGACAAGTCGGAGGCGATCTGGTTCACGAAAAGAGTAAACATTGACTCGGAAGATTGCATCATCATGTATGATACTCCAGTACAGTGGACTAGGCAAGCCCGATACCTAGGCATTACTTTAGATAGGCGACTCACATGGACCCCACACATTACACAGCTTATTGCCAAGTTCCGTGCTCGTAAACGAACACTTACCCCATTAATTAGCCGGAATTCCGTTCTCTCTATTGATAATAAGTTGCTCATTTACAAAACCCTTTTGCGTCCCATACTTTCTTATGCCTGCCCTGTTTGGGGATATACCAGCCATACCAATATTCAACAAACTGCAAGTCTTGCAGAATGTTACGCTTCGACAACTCTCCAGAAGTCGTTGGTTCATAAGAAATAAGGCCATTCATGAGGAGTTGGAAATTCCAACTATTTCAAATTACTTCGCACTCCTTGCAGAAAAATTTTTCTATAATATTCCTAATGTAAACAATAGTTCAATACCTGTGCCTCACTATGATTACTCACTTGACATTAATAGCAAGTGGCCGCTTGCGATACTAAGATACCTAAATTAATACATTTTTTTATAATCTACTTATGTAAACACTCTCCCTTACTTGAGTTTTGATTTGTTTTGATTTAATTTCTTATGATTTGATTTGATTTGAACTGACTCGCCGCCTGAATTAATTTCTGTATATAGTGTACATATTTCCTACTTTATGTCTTATGTATTTTTTCCTTATTATGTATTATTTAATTACCTATGGAATGTTATGTATTTATGTTTACTTATTTGTACTATGATGAGTGGTCACAGGGACTCCTATTCAGACTAGCGATAGGCAATTTTTTCTTTACTACGCCATTGCACACTTATCTCCGTCTAAGGCATATCAGCTACTGGTGTTTCTTCAGGACTCATATCATCGGTTCTTGTTACGAACTCATTGTGCTCGAATTTTCTATCCAACTGCTCGACGATCAAAGATTCGAAAATCGCACACCTCTTATCCCGGGATAGCGTTGTAACGCGGGAACCCACTTTGCGAAAACTCATCGAGTTTGCCTGAGCCGAAGTATCATTTTTCACATTGTAGAATGCCTAAGTAACATTTGTTACTCTGTAGAATGCTTAAGTACCATTTTTCACTCTGTGGAATGCCTAAGTACCATTTTTCACTCTGTAAAATGCCTAAGTACCATTTGGCACACTGTAGAATGCTTAAGTACAATTTCCCCCCTGTAAAATGTTTAAGAACCATTTGTCTCTCTGAAGAATGCCTAAGTACCATTTTTCACTCTGTAGAATGCCTAAGTACCATTTTCACTCTGTAGAATGCCTAAGTACCATTTTTTACTCTGTAGAATGCCTAGGTATCATGTACAACGCCTATGGATGTATATAATAATTCTCACATTTCGTACTTTACTTAGAAGCGCCAGGCATTCTCTAAAATGAGTAGGTATTCTATAAAAGTCGACGCTTAATACATTGCCATCAAAGCTCTATCCGAGAAAGGAACTGAAAACGTTAGAAATTTATTTTTTAATATTTCAGACGCATATAGCACTAAATGTCAGCAACAGCAGCTATTCCCCGAAGCTGTCCAAACTTTAAAACATACAAATTTCGAATTAGAATTTTCTGCAAATAAGCTCATCTTAGAAGAATTTGTAATATCTACTTGTTTATGTGATAGCCGAAGTACGTATAAGAACCACACAAGAAAGGGTTAAAAGAGCTCTTTAAAACTATTTAAAACTATTTAAATTAAATAAAAAACTTAGATTAAAACTATTTAAAACTCACAGTGCGTCTACTTGACGCTAGCACATTACGCCTCGCTCGGGCGTAACTCAAATAACAAGAACTAAACAAAAAATTCGAAGATATTAACCAGCAGTAGAATTACTCTACAGGGCTCAGATAATCCGGTTACCTAAAACCGCATCGAAATATTAGCGGCAGCAAAGTAATAGCTGTGATGCCACTTTAACCAGCAATAAAAGCAGAACCAGAAACTCACGTTACGAAGTGACAGCCTTTAACTAACCCTTTAAATTTCCCTTCTAGAATTCGGTATTTAAACCTTTCCTTCTCAAAGTAGAATTTGAATTACTTCACGCGCGCTTCCGAATTTAAATATTCTGGCATTGACAATTAGGAGAATGAAGGCTTACAGGAAAGAACGTAAATTTAAATGGTTAAATTAAAATTAAATAGAAATCCCCACAAACTATAAGCATAAACAAAGTAAGCTACTAGTATATATAACCATACACAGCTATAACACATGAAAGTTATTCATTGTTAATTCAAGAAGCAAATTAAAATTAGTTTAAAATCTAATCCAATGCAATTACTTGAAATGCTAAGCTTAAAATATTCAAGCATTGCCTGAATCTCAGGTTTCTGTGAAAGTTAATATTTTCTCTATCGGTAAAAGTTCAAACAAGTAGAGGAGTTGGACATTAAAACTGAAATATTTATCAAATTTTAAAGCAGCGTAGACACTTTCAGCTATCAACTCATAAGGATTTTAAATTTTATGGAAAACAATAAATAGAATGCGAAGTTTGAATCTGTTGACTTCAAACATTGAGAATTGTAGAACATGTATGGAGATTATAATGGAATTCAAATGGCTAGTTTTGTTGGCTTATTTGGTTACGCCAGGTGACAGGTGACGGAGGACGGGGACGCCTGATGTTTAACAGAGGTAAACAGGCATATGTCCCACGCCTTTCCCTACCTATAGGCAACAACTCCCTGGAGCAGCAAGAGGCCCGCACTGGGAGTTTATTGAGATATCAAAATAAGTTTGTTCACGTGGCCAAACAGGCCACGTGAACAAACTTATTTTGATTAGTAAGCATACAATGGATACTTGGTAGACATGCTATTTGGCATCTTAATGATAAGTCATACATGCAGCTTAAGCAGACATATTTGCAATACATGACAAATAAATACACATAGAATAAACACAGTTCAACACATAATATACAAAACATAACAGTGCATGATACAAAGTACACACAATACAACATTAAAAAGCATAAAACATATATAAATTTTACGTTAAACACACACATTACGTTAAACACATAAAACTTATATAAGAAAACGAAAAATACATGAGAGCACATGAGAATCAAAACGCACTATTTTAACATGAACGCACCTAGGCACATTACGTTTAACATGCGGAACAAAATGCAATGCGTTAGTGATACATGGGCAGTAGATATTTACATTGATATTGATGCTTATTGATACAGGAAGTTAAATTGTGCATTACAGTATTCATACATTGTATTGACAGTTATGCATGCGCATGGTATAATACAGTTATACATTTAAATAATATTGAAAGGTACAGTTATACGTGCGGAGTAACATTACATGGTACTTAGAGTCTGCTTAATTATACAGTACATTATTCATAAAGTATGCTGAATACATTACATTATTCATGCAAAATGCTTATTCGTACTGAGTGCTATATTATACAGTACATTATTCGTACATTTCCAAAGTATGCAGATATGCATGTTCAGTTGTTCAATACAGTTATATGTGTACAGTAACGTAGTTATATGATATCCAAAAGAGCACAGTTATGCGTGCGAAGTTACATTATTTAATACTTACTGAATGCTAAATAATACATCGCGTCATTCATACGGAATGCTTATACATGCACTGTTACACAGTTATGTTAAATTCAGGGGTGCATAGATGTGCACGGAATTACATTATTTGGTACTTGCAGTGTGCAAAAATATGTATTACATTATTATATTACATTATTATACATTCCCTTATTTATACAGGATGCTAAATACACTACAATATTTATACACAATATTCATACAATATTTTTATTCGCACAGAATGCTAAATTGCGTGATGCACTAATCATACTTATACAAAGGTACACAGTTATGCATGCACAGTCAGTAAATACAGTTATACATGCGCTGTTATACAGTTAAGTGGTTACGGCAAAACATTCATCTATCTGCCTAAGAGAAGACATGCCTTCGTGGAGGACTTGCTAAGGGAAACTTGCTCGTACACGTATTACACATGGCGAAAACCGGCCCACCAGCGGCCGAGCGGTAAAGTCGCTGAACACTGGTAGTTCGGTCCGAGGTTCGAATCCCGCGAACGGGCTAGCTGCATGGGTGTTTTCGTGGTTTTCCCCATGTGTAACGTGTATACGAGCCAGTTTCCCTTAGAAAGTCCTCCACGAAAGGCATCCCTCCTCTTAGGCAGATAGCCCTAGTGTGCTTTGCCATAATTAAATACACACACACACACCATGGCGAAAACCACAAAACACGCATGCAAGCCAGTCCTTTCGTGGGATACGAACATCGGACCGAAATACCAGTGTTCAGCGATTTTACCGCTTGGCCGTTGATGGGCCATAGTTTGAAAGAAGGGATATTGTTTGGTGCTCGTTTGGCTGTGGTCAAACGCTCGTTTGGCGAATAGTCAAAAGGGTTAATTATCAGAGAGTAACAAATTGGAACATTTCTATATTTTTACTAAATCATCTACTTAAATGCTCAAGTAATCCAGGCTTTTTCCTAGTAGTTTGCTTTGGAAATGGACTAAACTGAAAAACATTTTCTTGGTAAAATTTAGGATTTTGAAAGTAAATGCACTCGGTTAGACTTTGGATAACTATTTATTGCCATAATAGTAATTTCCCCTGAGTTAACCAATTAAAATGGTTTCATATCTTCTTCAATACTGAGCTTTTATTTCAAATTTAGATTTTTTTAGCTTATGGCTTTATTAATAGCTAACCCAATCTGAAATTTCAGGAGTAGGATTTACTCATCCGAATTATTGAATAACAACAATCATATGCTATTTTCAGTGCTCGAGTTGTTCAATACTCAATACATTTTAATCTCAATGCCTGAATCGTTATGAATGAAAATATTAAACTAAAAATTCGATTATCCAAACTATTAGTCTACAGCTGTTTAAAAGTTGTTTGAAAATATATCAGAGAAGGAAATTCCGAGAAGAGTCTGGAAACAAAATATAAATCGTAGGCTAAGTCTTTCGAAATCTTATGATAATTATTCCTCTAGTCCTCGTAGTTTAATTATCGGATGTCTTAAGATCAATCGAAATTACTGTTCTTACATTCACCGGCAATTCTTTTCACCCTTCTTTTTAAGTTATATTTCAGTTTTCGCACCTGGACAATATAAGATTTTGTAAAGCAGAAACAATCAACATAATGCTCAATACTAATTGGTTTACTTGAGGTAATCGTTTATATAAATATGAAAATGTGCTATAGAAAGTCAGTTCAGGTAATCTAGGCTCTACTGCAGAAGTCTGGAACCCACCCTTGTGCCACTCAATTTAGATGCAGTGGTACCTCGCTAAACTTCCACTCTAAAATGCGTCCAACTTAGTATACGTCCTATTTGGAAGCAAAAAACTTTGCTTGGTATACGACATACGTTAGAAGTATTACTCGAGTTCAACGAGTCACAACTGAGCTTTTCAAAGATTGAGGATGTTTGAGCATCCTTACTTGTTCACCTCTTTATAAAGTGACGCCAGTTACTTGTTCACCTCTTTACCTTTGACAGTGTTACAACTGTCCATGAACTTCAGTTCGCCTGTCCTTACTATGCAATAAACAAATTGCACTTCAGTTCTGAATTTTCAAGAGATTTTGTGCGTTTGAATGTTTTGTGCTTTTAAAGTTTTGTAAGTTCATTAACAATGAGGTTCAGGAAAGTTAATGAGAAGAGCAAAGCAACGAAGAAAATTGTTAGGATCACCACGGAGGTGAAAAAACAGCTTATTGAAGCGTGTGAAGATGGCATCCTATCTGGGACTTGATTATTGCATATAGTAGGCAAAATACGATGGTGTCTACAATTCGGAAAACACAAAGACACTACTAAATCCGCTAATGTTGCGAAAGGGCGCAGTCGATTACCAAACAAAGATCAGAGGCATTGGAGCATGTTAAAAAATGCTGGCAGTGCTTCATTTATGCATAGTATATATTGCACTCATCGGATTTGTATTTTAGTATTAAACAGTGTCAAAATAATAGCATATTTTATTACAGCAGAATAATTATTTTCTCTTTATTTCTTATTAGATAAATTCGTTTGGAATAGGTCCATAGATCCGTTCCAAATCCTTTGACCTGTACTAAACATAGATGCAAGGATTATGTCTGGATTAATAGTCCAAGGATTACGTCTGGATAGATATAAGGTTCAAGGAACCGTTCCAGATATTTGGACTTATGCCAAACATCTGCATTGGTATAGGTCCAAGGACTACGCCTGGATTAATGGTCCAAGAATTACATCTGGATAGGTCCAAGATATAAGGATCCATTCCAGATATTTAAACTTATACCAAACATGTAGATTGGTATTGGTCTAATGATTACATCTAGATTGGTAATGGTCCAAGGATTACGTCTGCGTTAATGGATCCAAGGACTATATCTAGAGTAATGGCCCAAGGATTACGTCTGGATTAGTGACGTATACCGAAGTACCAATGTATTTGAGATTCTACTCTAGCTATCGATCGTTCCTTGGAATACTAGTATTGCACAAGAAATTGTTAAGAGTTTCATAACAAATAGTTAAAAATGGATTAATAATATGCAAAGAATTTTTTGGTAATTTTTAATTCACAATTTTTTTTAATATAAGGAGTTGTTTGAGCCATGAATATTGTGTCAGACTCTGCAATTTTAAGCAGCTCTCAGGTGCCCTATTTAAAGCTTGCCATCTATCTGTTTTTGCGTTTTGTGTTGCATATTTTCAAGATGTTTTTGTATTGTAAACACTGTTTACTTAAGTGCTTTTAAAATCTAATTTTAGATACGTCTAGTAAATCGAGTGACTGATTTAACCAATAAACTGCAAACGCTGAATGATTTGACATTAAGAGTCAGCGCACTGGAGGAAAATATAACTGATATTGCAAGTAAGGTAAGCTAAATTATAACCCCATAATTTAAAGAATCGAATGCTTCATTACTTTGGTAAATTAATGTTCTCATGTTCCCAAAAATGTTATTGTATAAAAACAAGACTATTTCCTTAATTTAGGTTGATCAGTTTATTGGATCAGGACAAGATGCAATCTCCAATAGAGGACTGAGGCGTATTATGTCAAAGGTATTATTTTATTTATTTATGTGCATAATATTTGATAAGACAAAAATTAAAGCAAAAAATATTATTAAAAGGCTTCATTAAGAATGAAAAATGCTGCTGTTTGTAAAGGTTTTGAGCTTAAAATTTAGCAAAGTATTGATATTAACACACCGGTTAGAAATAAATCCACAACTAAAATAACAGTATAAACAAAGCAGCGCAGCAAAATAAGAAATGAAAGCTGCAATACACAAATTGGCAAGCTATTAAAATTCAATAAAAATTCCAAATTGCAATAGCCATTTGAAAAAGAAATCACAATGAATTACGAATTAGATTGGTTCTGTACGAATTAGATTGGTTGAATTACGAATTAGATTGGTTCTTCCATGTAAAGTAAACTATACTTTTCAATGTTGCATATATTGAATATTAAAAAAAAATAAACTCAAATCACGAAAGGTGAAACTATTTTAAATTTCTGACCATTAATGAAAACAATTTCTAAGCTTGCTAAAATATTGAAAATAAAGGATCGAGAACAATTATCAAGCAAACCTGTCTTACTTTTTTCCACCAATGGTGGATTTTAACAGTTTATGTTGTAAAGAGAGAAGTAGAGGGCGCTGCTTGGCAGTAGCGCAATGCATGTAAGTAGAAACGAAATATCGTTTGAATAGGCAATATGATTTCTGTGAAGGTAGTCCGCCTAACAATAGGACAGTTGTAAATATGTGAATATAACGAATAATAAATAGCATTAGAAAAACTGAACCATCGGATGTATTGTGATTGCTCTACGGGCCGCCATGGATAAATGCACGTTCGTCACAGTTTATAGGTGTTGGCCATTGTTAAGGGCTGAAGCGGTGGTCTCTTTATTTTGGAGGCACCTCAATAGGTGGGACACTGTTGCCTCTTATGAAGGGACGGACAAATTACATCCGTGCCTTCTTCAGAATTCTAGCCCAGGCCCTTCGAAATGGCAATCAGAGTCGCTAACCATTTGGCCCACCAGCGGCCGAATGGTAAAGTCGCTGAACACTGGTAGTTCGGTCCGAGGTTCGAATCACGCGAACGGACTGGCTGCATGGGTGTTTTCGTGGTTTTTCCCCATGTGTAACGTGTATACGAGCCAGTTTCCCTTAGAAAGTCCTCCACGAAGGCATCCTTTCCCTTAGGCAGATAGCCCTCGAAGCTTTGCCATAATCACACACACACACTAATCATTTTTCCGTCTGGGTGGCCCACTGCCTTACATAACCAAAATATTTTTAAGCCGGGGTTGAAGAGGGAGTATCGTGATTTTCAAGATTAATGCTGAAAAAGAAACTTTCATAATTTGTAGATGGGCTAAACGTTTATTCGAAATTTCTAAAAAAAAAAAAAAAAAAAAAAAAAAAAAAAATATAATATATATATATATATACTAAAAAATATAAATAAAAAAATTAGCATTTCCTACTATAAATGAAGTAAAAGTTGCAAAAAGTACAGGAATTGAAAATATTTTATAAATGTAAAATTTCGAAGATTAGCCTTTCTGCAGACGGTAATTTAAAAATAAAGTTAAGGGTATTTAATGTAAAATGTCACCTTTAGAAATCTGCTCTCGAAAGGGTAATACGAATAGTTATGTTTAGCAACACTTTTATTCGGTCACTTAAAATTTCATTTTGGAAAGAAGAGATGTTTTTGATCTTCTTCCGAGAATGGAGGCGCAGCACTAGTATAACTTTGAAGAGGATACTTTCTCACTGACATTTCTTTTTGTTGCCAACAGCCCCGTGTGAAAATTTACGTACGCATATTTTTCTTAAAAGGCGTCATATAATAATAAAAATAACCCCAGTTTCCTAGTTTACATTATTAAATTCATTTTTACATTGAAAGTATGGATCTACGATCCGTGATTTAAGATACAGAAAGGTATTTAGCTCTATAATCTTTTAAAAGAACTTTGCATCTATATATGGTGACTCTAAAAGTTTCAAGACTGATTTTTTACGATAAATTTCTGCAAACACGTTAAATGGCAAATGATGACATTTATTACGGAATCTCAACTTGCGTCTCCTCAGATATCATATATGCTTACAGACGGAAGTGATGCTTGCGGAAGACATTTTTCACGCTCTTAACTGTTTGCTTTGAGCCAGCGAGTACCTGCTGTCCTGGTCTCGAAAGCTCAATAAAGAATAGCAATAAGGATTTCCCGTCAAGGGGAAAAGCAACAAAGGAAACATTTGAAATGTGTTATTATACGGCGATCAAGCACTAACATATTAATACCAATATTTTTCAGTGGTTCGGAGGATTTCGTGATGGATATGAAGTTTCGTGATGGATATGAAGATGTTGCAAATCAATCACGAGTGGTCGTCCTTCTCAGTAGCGACTTTCTTTTCTTTTCGCCACCTACAGAACAGCTGACCTACTGGGTTAGGTGCTCTTCAGCTTGTTGGATCCCGTCGATGGAATTAAAAAAAAAAAAGCTTAATAGTGTGCACTCAGGGAATTGGTTAGATTACATCCGGGAATCGATTACATTAATGCTGGGTCCTCCGAGACTGACAACATTGAAAAAATTATAAAATTGTTGCTGAAAATCTTTATCTTTCTGTCCAAATGACAGTCTTAACATCAGTAAAAACACAGCTCATAAAACTGCTGCGACTATTCCTCAGGAAAGAAAAAAATATTTCTCGTTATACCCCTTATAACACATGGCGAACAGAACAAAAATCAAATTTCTGTACGTCATGATTTGATCCAAATGGGAGATGATGAATTTTTTTCAAATAAACTCTGTCTAGAGATAATACGTTTTTCTTTGGTTATGATCTTGGCACGAAAGGGCAATCATCTGCTTGGTTGGGAGAAAATTTATCGCAAAATCATATTGGTAACCTTTCCTGAATGGAAAGCAATAATTTACAAGGAATTTATTCTAGAGGAGCAGACGCTGAACTCCATAAAGACATAATGCTGAAGAAATTTCAGCGCGTTAGGCCTAAAAAAGCTCAATAATAATGAGGGGTTTTTGCTTCGCACCTTGCGCAATCACATAATGCTACTCTTCTCTAGCAGTTTCTAGTAAAGAAAAGGGTTATAATTCTCAACCTCTCTATGTTTTCGTTAGATTTGGCATTCTCAATCAGGAATGAATGGGGCTGGTCCTATCGGCGCTCTCAATTCGCATAAATTTAGGAGTTGGTTACAAGAATGCTGGAACCATCGTGACCGTATATTTATACCATCAAGAATGCAATCTTCAACAAGATGCCGTCACGCCCATGTGAATATCTTTGTACAAGCAAATAGTCCCGGCTTGAATAAAGCTGCTGGCACCCTTATGTAAATCAGTCTCTACCATGAGTAATGTAATCTTCATCAAAATTTAGGAATGCCTATGTTTATGCCTATCTTTATCTAAGTGAATAGTCACCGACTTGCCTTAAGTACAGGCATCGAAGGCGGAGCATGAAAATTATCCGTTTTTAATTTATGAAGTAAAGAATTATGTCCAGAAAACGTTAATCTGCAACGAGCTTACGAAGACGGAGTTAAGATGATGCGTTTAATATGTTTACGGTTAGTTTATCTATAGAAAATTTTCTTTCAGCCTCATTAAACCTTTTCTTACAATGAGCTTACTGTTCTTGGTTTCATGAATAGTACAGTTATGAATAATGATTCAGGTGTTTTTTAAACAATCGCTGTCATGTGACAAAGCGGACCTATGGCCATCGACGTCTCGAGAAATTTCTTAAATTTCTCAATAGCCTCAGCCTAGCCTGATAACAAGTTATTCTTTCCTAAAACTAATCCTTAGCTTTAAAACGACATGATTTTAATAGCAGAACTTTAAAAAACCACAACTGGAGACTTCCATATTATTTCAAAAGATGATATCTACAAAGAAACAACGCTGGTCAGGATTATGCATGCTGGTCAGGATGCGGTCATGATTATGCATCTGCATCTGCATAATCATGAATGCATGCATGCTGGTCATGAATGCATTCCCGATTATGCATCTGCATAATCATGAATGAATGCATGCTGGTCATGAATGCATTCCTGATTATGCATCTGCATAATCATGAATGAATGCATGCTGGTCAGGATTATGCATCTGCTAGCAGATGCATAATCCTGACCAGCGTTGTGTAGATCTGCATGCATTGCATGTTGAAGTCTAAAAAGAGGTAAAAGTGGAATTTATTCAGTTTTTGACTTGTATGAACTTAGCTTAAAAAATTATAGGAGTAAAGATATAAGCAAACGTATTCCTATAAAGTACTAACAAGGCAATACTTATAGCTCTTTTGAGTTGTACTTAATCTGTACTTATTACATGCAATACTGATGAGAGAAATAATCATTTAGAACATTATTACATATCTGGCTTTTGTGTTATCCTACAATACTTTTGCTATGCTATATCGAATTCAAAATACGACACTTAGAATTTAAACAAATATATTACAATAAACAATAATGAAGTGATTTTGGTTATTATAAATCAGCAACTTCTTTCTTTAGGAAGAAAAAATATAAAAAAATGTTAAACCAAATTAGTAATCATTTTTTAAAATGTTCTGAGACTAGAAAAAAGGCAACTGCTGCATGTTATGATGCAGTTCAAATCTTCCTAATATTGCACGGAATTTTTCATAAGCATCATCATAATCCATATAATATGTATTTATGCTAATTGTTGCCATTTTTTAGGTCCGAACACTTGAAGATAAAGTAAATAGTTTGACTCAAGTAAGTACATTAAGCCCTTTTGTATTCATAAATTTTTGAAAAATATTAAACGTACTAAAATTATTAAATAAAATTCATATTTTCAACGAAAATAAAACTGTACCGTTCCTTGAAAAAATTACATGGATTACCACGTAATATTTTTCAAAAAACCTTCTCATTTTAAAATAAATCCTTTATTAACGGTAATCAGAGAAACATAGATAGTAATAAATAATAAATGAAACATAAACTCATCAATTATAACATAATGCGTTCAAGAGATTCAGAGACATTAATTTTAGTCATTCACCAGAATCAGTTTTGGCAATGGTTTCGTAAATACTTATTATTGATTGAATCTCTAATTAATGAACTATTAGTTCTCTATTTGTAACATTACCCTATCAGAGCATATCACAGATATAGAGGACATTCGCATATTTTTTAGACGATTTTCATTGTGTTCACAGAAATATTTTACCTGAAATTTTTGTTTCTTAAATGTTCTGTTTGAAAATCTTTATTCTTCGTAGCTTTCTATACCGTAATTTCCAAGATAATAAAGACTTTTGTAGTATCGGAAGTGGTATTTTCTCTCATTCTTCATGAAAAGCTTTCCAATGTAAAACCAGTGTTTAGATCGTGTAAACCAGTGTTTAGATCGTAGTAACCAGTGTTTAGATCGTAGAAAGTGTAAAATTGCAAAAATCCCTGGATGATATTTCAGGAGATTTAGTAGGGGTATGAGTGAAGGGTATGGCCTTGATACCCGTTTCTTGTTGCATTTTGCCAAGAAATAAACAGCAGATTTTGACGTGTGGCTGTTTTGTCTTGATGAAGTTCTACTGATTGCTGGCATTCATTTCATATTTGAAAATTGAGTGTAAAATATGTTTTTGATAATATAATATGCGGAGTCGATCTTCAAGTTTCTGGCCACTGTATTTATTTTCAGTTTGCCGTTACATGAAAAATGAACAACAATCATAAATCCCTGTGCTCACCTGCGGCCAAGCGGTAAAAGCCACTGAACACTGGTAGTTCTGTTCGGGGTTCGATTCCCGGTAAATGGGCTGGCTACATGGGCGTTTTCTTGGTTTTCCCCATCTGTAATGTGGATAGAGCCAGTTTCCCTTAAAACCACCTCCACGGGGCATCCCTCCCTTTCCGTGTAGTGCCCAAGGGCGGAACACGTAATAAGAAGAAGAATCATAAATCCCTTTGAAAAACTTTCTCTAAATTTATTGATCCATGTTTTAAGAATTCTTTCTCCTCTTTGATGATAATAAATGGATCTTTTTCATTGCAGTCGTTTAAACACACGCAGGATTTATCTATTGTGACACACATTTTTATCCGGATAAATGTTTTTTACAAAGAATTCTGCAGCGCTTTTTGCGTTCGGCGATATTTCATGGACAAAGACGATGCACATTATGTTTTTTCTCTTTAAGATTCAAATCGGCACTAATCACTTTGATTACAATTGACACTGACCATTTTAATGACTTTACCACTGTCCTTTCACTTGACGGATTTTCTTTTAACATTAAACATCTTACATTTGCAACATTCGAAACATCTCTTCTTTGGATATATATCTGGAACAGTTTTCTACACTTAAAACCAAGTTTCAAAGTTTTTTTCCACTTTCTTGTTGACAATATTACATAACGTACCTTTAGATCGAAAATTCATGGCTTTCATATCGTTTTAAGAATTAGATACGAATAATTTTCTTCGAGAAAAACCACAAGCATAGCCTTTATCCATTGCTTCTTTAAAAGCGTCATTTTCCATGAAAGCAAAACTGTCAAGTGCCAGACGATAATATATGTTTTCAATAATATAACTGCTTTTAAAAAAAGAAGTTTTCCGACAAACGTTTTTTTATAACAAAGCAAAATCCTCTAAAAAATCTGCAAACAGCCTCTGTTTTAATTATGATTATTCCTAAAAACCGGTTTTAGCAATGCCTTGTAAACTCGCATTACTGATTGAAAACCGATTAATTAGTTGCTGATCATTATTTATAACAAAAATTTATCTCAGAAATTTAAAACTACACATTATGGCCGTCTAACTGAACCAGTTTCTGTAATGCTTCTATAGATTTCTATTACTGATTTTTAAGTCATGATTCGAGTAGAAAATTATATCATTTCCAGAAAATATTTACCTTCATATTTAGGGTTTAAACATTTCCTTTCTGGATTAAAACAGAATGTAGCATTATTTTGTTGATATTAAACTGTTAATACAGCAATTGTTTTAAATTTAAAGCAGAATCCTACTACGTCATAACTCTTTCAAAATGTATGGGTATTTTATTTCTTTTTAAAAATGCGGAATTGTATGTAGGGTATTAAAAGAAAATGGCTGAAATTCCATTAATTGTTTAGAGCAAAGGTTTTTATATGTAGAAAGAATGATTTCCAAAAGATATTTCTGCCACCTAAAGGACCGTACACACTGGGTTTCAAAAGCCATTGAGTATACTGGAGGCAGTACAGCTGGAAATTCTTTACATTCGTCGTTATCATCGTGACTTTCATTATTGTTTTCATCTGTTTTAACTTGAATTTCTAATGCAGGTTGATGTAACGTTTTCCCAATGCATCGTTCATAAAACGTATTACTTCGAGTACCTTTATATTGGCATTTGAGTTTGTTCTTACTTTTCTCTTCTATCAAGAAGCATCAAAATCAAGCGCTTACGAAAGTTTGATTTAAAACTTCTGATGGCCCCTTGGTTTATAGGTTGAATAAAACTTGTAGAATTCGGTGGTAAAAATTTACTCATAATGTTTTTAAGTCCAATGATTTCAGGATGCGCTTTAGTATTATCAATTAAAAGGATAATTTTACGATTTTCTTTCCTTAGTTGCCTCTCCCATCTTGAAATTAATTCTGTGAAAATATCCGAAGTCATTAAAGCTTTCTTGTTGTGATCATAATCAACAGGAAGCTTTTCTGCATGCTGAAGGAATTTGTCAAAGAAAGGATTAGTTGAGCTGAAGAGGTGTAAGTGAATATATATTTTATGAATTACAAAAATATTGCTCGCTATAACCGCTCGCGGGTTTGCTGATTGAAAGTGAACTATGATCCCGAAGAATTAACATTATACCAATCAAGTATTTCCGATTTCCTCGTTAAATACGTTTCTCGTTAATTCAGTGTTCGTTTTAAGCTTGTTGTACAGTATTATGATAGCTGTTTTTACTTATATTATTTTAAGCCAAATGATAAAATAATTCTAGCAATTGTGGATTGAAATGTTTTTGAAATGTTCCATTTCAAAGAATAATATACATATTGTTGCGTGTCTTGATTGGATGCACAAGTCGGATAAAAAGTTAATAAAATTTATTCTTATCACAAGAAAAATGTAACAAAAACTCTGGATTTTTCCTTAAAGATATTCGTACAATATCACACTATCTCAACAATAGTTATATTTTAAACTACTAAAACGTTAATTGGAATGCAATCCAAAGCGCAGAGAAAGCTGACCCAAACGAACCGCGAATTCGCTACAACCAATAACAGCATTCAGTAAACAACTGAATTGAGATGTTTCTGTCCGGCGTTTGTAGCTTTTTAAGTCAGCCGCTCTAGACGGTTCTGGAAAGCAGAAGAGTAGATTTACGCGGTATCTTTTTATTAAGTGTTAAATGCGCGCGCTCCTGTATTTTTACTTTTCCGGTGTTGCTTTCTCTTAAAATAAATCTTGTGTTGCATAGCACAGGGATATAAAACAATTTTAATTTTAATTCTACTGAAAATAACAAAATACAAAAAACTTAACAATATGAATGTGTAGTAATCGATTCCCGGTTTAATTTACCTAATAAAGGAGATGTAGTTTTTTCTTTCGTTTTCAGTTTAATAAACAAAGTTATGGTAATTAAGACACAGTAACACGACGAACAAACACTAATATTAAAACTTTTTAGTAAAACTTATGGTAGTAAGGCTAACTCAGAGTTCAGTCTAGTTTATTCATTCCGACATTTGTTTTAAAAGTATACTGTCACGAATTTCGTATTTAGATAGCTAATGTTAGTATAATTATAATTAAAATTGTTTTTTTCACCGTGCAGCGCGAGACTAGTTTAAAGAGAAAGTTATGCCGTGCCGGAAAAGTAAAAATACAGGAGCACGTGCATTTAACTTTTAATAAAAGTTTAGCTCGGTAAGTTATGTTTAATTTGAGTAACCTTAATTCACTACTATGCTAGCTGTAACCGTAATTCCTCTCTTTTGCTTTCCAGAAATCTCGAGAAGCAAAGGAATTACCAGAAATTTCTCGCGACCGATTAAAAGCTATAAAAAACCGGAGACAGAACATCTCAGCTTAGTTACTGCTATTGCGATTTGTTTTAGTTACGCGCGAAATGAGATATCTGAATTTGCTTTCTCTTTCTTTTTGAAGTACGTTGTATTTTAACGTTTTTAGTAGTTTAAAGTATAGTTACTGGATATATTGTGTTCTATTTAAGAATATCTCTGAGGAAAATTCCAGCGTTTTGTTATATTTACTAACCCGTATGCACGCAACAATATCTTCGTAGCGACTATTTCCCAAGCGAATTTAGCCCATATCTATATAACACAAATAGAAAAAACAAGAAACCCTATGCGTTCAGCTTGTTGTCGGGAATAACACAAATGTGTTCAGAGATACAAGAAGTGTTTAGTTATCTGACGCAAACAGCATTAGTTATCTCGTCTGTTTATTAAGTCACAAGGTTTTGAATTTAATATTTTTTTTATATATTTTTCTATTTACAGCTTTTAACAGTAAACGAATGCAGCAGTAATCCATGCAGAAATGGAGGAACATGTATGGACACATACAATGGATACATTTGCAAGTGCCCATCAAATTGGGAGGTAAGAATTTTGAATTGAAAATAATAAATTAATCTTTTTTGAGAATTATTCCTAGCTCTCTATGCTTTCAAAGTTATAGTGTAACTCTAAAAAGTCACAGTATCCTAAAGAACTCGAAACTAAGTTCATTGAAAATAACACAGGAAGAATAATACTAGTTGCCTTGAACTAAAAAGCATCAGCTTTGTATAATAAACTTTATTCTAAAAGATTCATATTTAAGAGAAAAAATTGCCTGCAGCGCAGTGCGGCTAAGAACGCTATTCTCTGAAACATAAACATGAACAACTGTTGCCATTCACACAAACTTAATAGTAAAATAAAGCATGTTGCCAGTAACAAGATTAGTGTAAATCATAACATAAATTAAGCAGTGAGAAAATAAAATATACAAAGAAAAAAAAGAAATGCAAATATTAAATATACATCCAACAAATACTTTGTATATCAAATTGAATATTTTGTATATCAAAGTGAATATTTTGTATACCAGAGTGAATATTTTGTATATGAAAGTGAATTTTACTTAAAGAGTAAGTTCTAATTGGTTACCTAAATATGGTTAAATTTAATATGTTGTCCAAACGGAATAGTGGTTAATGACTTTGAGTGCCGTACAGAACGGTCAGGCTTTGAATACCGGAGAAGACATGGATGGATGTTTGTAAATGTATAGTGTCTGTGAGGCAAGGGGGGCATTCTAACTAAGCGGCAAGCGGGAAGTCCTCTCGAGAGATTGGACGTAGAGGAAGAGGCGTGGGAGACCTTCGGAGTTGTGTCCTGGGAGTCTCTCTCTCAAAATTTTGGGGGGGGGGAACTGAGCTGTCACCTATATGATGCTAAAGGTTCTTTCCAACGATAGTCGCATTTGACTCCTTGTCATTCTGATTGTCGTGGGCTTTGGCTGATCATTGTCAGACGAGTGAGATTGGTAATGACAAGTGCCACAGGAAAATGTTTCTTGAATTTGTGATTTCATATAAGGTGAATTTTTGTTATCTATTGCCATCTTGTTGATTTACAAATATATAAAGAAAAGCTCATTTTTATACTCACATATTAATCTGCGCGTTTAAAATTTTCTAACTAGTCAAGAGCCCTGCTTTGTTTCTGTGGAAGCGAGAATGTGGAACAGGTAGGCATTGGTGTTCAACTTTGTAAATCTTATGTTAAGGAAGCCGCTGTTTGTGCAATATAAGAAAGATGAGTCCTCAACTGATAAAAGACATAAAATTGTGGCTAACAGTCAGCGAAGCCGCAAGCATTTAGTGGTTAAGCTATAGTAATTTGATGCATTGAAAGAGAGAGTTTATGCTAACAAATGAATAACAATTTACTCAACTTTCATCCTAAATTTCACTCTAACTTCTCCGTTTATATTTCCTATTGTAGCGCAAAGCTTTGAATGTCGGACGCTCTACGCGTCGTGGGTGCCAAAGATTCTCTCCAAGTTCATTTTGAACGAACAAATGTAATAAATAAAGTTTGTGTGCGTGTAAAATTTTTTCTTTGTTCTGTAACATCCAAAGATAACGGCGTTCAAATTGAGCAAAAGAATAGAATTCTGGCATGCAAATATGTAACGTTTGTCATTGACTGTTCGATGAAGAAAAATGGTCCGAAGGTTTCATCTGCAGCCAGAGCGCTCCAAACATTCACTTTCGGGCTACTGTGTGCTTTTTCTTTTATTGCATGAGGATATTCACTTCCCCAGATCTGACAGTTATGACGGTTAACGTAACCAGAAACATGGACAGTAAAATTGTTGTGTAAAACTATTTGAAATTAACTTTCCAAGGAAATAATAAACGTGTACGTACCTCATTTTGTTCTTTTCAAAAATGAAATGAACTCAATAATTTTGGAACTCCCTGTAGAAAAAAATAATTGTGTCAATAAAAAAATCCATTCTTTCATATACCTGCAAATTTTGCAGCGAAATGAAACTGTAGAGTCATTAGGATTTTTGAAGTAGGAAAAATGAAAAATGAGCAATGCCATCACAGGGACTCGAACCTGTACCTCTCGAAAATGGGGCGAGTGTGCTACCGTTGCACCATGAAGGCATGCAGAAAAGAGAGAGAAGAATACCTTATATAGTTCCCCTTTTAACGGGCGACTGGGGATTAATCGGAGACCCAGTTGACGAATTAGGAAATCCAGTCGCCAAATCCTGGTGATGAAGAATCATCATCCACCAACATTTTTAGCTCGGGAGTCGTTGTAGGGTTATTAATAATTTTTAAAGAAAGAGACTTGAAAAATGAACTATGTCCTCGCCGCCATTCGAACATGGACCTGTCGAATTTGCACCGAGTGTACTACCATCAAATGACCAAGCCAAGCTGTAAGGAGCGAGAAAATACCTTATATACTCCTCCTTGTTCGGTTAGGTAGGTCAGGCTGCGCCCACTACTGATACCTTACATACCTTTATTACCTACTGATACTTTATCACCTTTTAAAGTACGACTGAGGATTAGAGGACTCAATCTCCAAATCTTGGTAGTCAAGAATCATCATCCACTCTCTATTAGTTCGGGCACCACTGTAAAGTTATTAGGATTTTTGAATTAGGAAGCACGAATAATGGACAACGCGGGACTTCAACATGGACCCCTGGAATACGCGCCGAGTATGCAACCATTACACCGCGAAGGTATGTAGAAAGGAGGGAGAAAATAATTTATAAAAATGTTTTTCATTGAGCTTCTTAACGTATCATGGATATTTTGCTAATTAGCATTTGCTTCTAGGAGAAGCTTCTAAATTTAAAATCTGAAGCAGAAATTCCAATATTGAATACAATTTTTAAGTGGTGTAATGGTAGGAAAGCAAACGGAGAAAACAGTGTCAGTAGCTTTCAGATTTTGGTTTGGATTTTTTAATGTTTATGAAAAGGAACGCGAGAAAAATTGATTGGTATATTAACCATTAGCTTTAACCCTTTGCGGCACAGTGTGTCGGTCTGGACACACATAAAAGTTTCCTTCTGTACGCACAGAAAAATTGAATGAAAAAGGATTTATAGGTTACTCTGAACCTTCTTTATTTTATAGTAGATGGCAGCTCAACACAAACCAGTCCATATATTTTAGCCATGTTTAGTTTTTTAAGACCCTCATTTTTTAAAGAAAACTTCCATATTTTTTTAGGGTATAAAAGGAATTGTTTGAAAAGAAATTTCTATGTTATGTTTTTGGCTGTATGCTAATCTCCTTATTCTATATTAATTTTAAATTTTTACCTTGAAATCTTGCCTAAAACCAAACGGCGAACCCTAGCTGTGCCCAGACCGGGCTCACCGATAAAGGATAACTGAGAGTTTGTATTCTTTGTTTCTCCGCATCTCATCGGTCAGTTAATTGACAACAATGCTCGTTTAAGCGGTGTCCGCCGATAATATCGCGGCAAAAACATCGTGGACGAAAACGTCGCGGAGAAAACAACGCAAGGCGAAAACGTCGTGCTACAAAACATCGTGGGAGAAAACATCGCAAAGAGAAAACATCGCAGTTCTAAAACATCGTGGTACAGACATCGTCGTAGAAAATAAAGCGTTTCAAAAACATCGCAGTTTAAAAACATCGTCGTCGAAAATATCGTGGTAAAAAATAAAGTATCTACAAATCATCGCATGACGATAACATCGCAGACATGCTTTTTTCAGGTTTTAATAACTGTAAATGGATATTCCCATAATGATTTGTGAGCGCAAGGTTTAAAGAAGGATAAATTTTACTTTCACATATTTTATTAACTAATAAATTTTTGTTGAAAACGTAAGAAGGAAACTTAAGCATAGAAAATTAAATGTAACTTTAGATTATACTTTTCATGAAATATTACCAGTAAAAACTTTACAAAAATGATTTATTAATGGCCTTTGTTAGTTAACTATGTCGGTTTAAAACTCTATTAAGTGCTATAAGTTGCATTAATTTTTTATGCTTAAGTTTCCTTTTTATTTTCTCAGCAAAATTTATTAATTAATAAAAAATATGAAAGTAAAAATTATCCTTCTTTCCATCTTGCGCTCACAAATCATTATGGGAATATCCATTTACACTTATTAAAGCATGCCTGAAAAAAGCATGTCTGCGATGTTATCGTCATGCGATGATTTGTAGATACTTTATTTTTTACCACGATATTTTCAACGACGATGTTTTTAAACTGCGATGTTTTTGAACCGCTTTATTTTCGACAACGATGTTCTGTACCACGATGTTTTAGAACTGCGATGTTTTCTCTTTGCGATGTTTTCTCCCACGATGTTTTGTAGCACGACGTTTTCGCCTTGCGTTGTTTTCTCCGCGACATTTTCGTCTGCGATGTTTTTGCCGCGATGTTTTCGGCTGTAACCCGTTTAAGCACTCTTTTCGAAGCTCTATTCAATCAGTGTGCCACTTTAGGCACACCCACAGAGTTAAAACGATAAGTGCTATCTTCACAAAATTTTACTTGTGTACTCCTCTAGGCCTAATTAGACTACCTTCTTTTTTTTTTTTTTTTTTTTTTTTTTTTTTTTTTTTTTTTTTTTTTTAATCAAAACTCCGATTTTAATAGGTAGCGCGCCGGAAAAGGTTAATAGCAGGATGGACGATAATAGTAAATTATAAATTATTAGATTCATACAACACAAAAGAATTCGCAAATAGATTGATTGCACGAAAAGTTAGATTTCGTATTTTATAGAAAATTAATTTAAAAAAATTTTAATTTAAAATGCATTTCGGAACCGGAAGTATATATCTACGACTAACGGATGTCGGTTAAAGGCCAGTTAAAGTCTTTGTAGACACGGTATATATTTATTATTCATTTTTGCTTGTAATTTTAGCCTGTTTTCATACTCAGATATATATATTAAGTTTAAATTCGCAAAATCTCGTGTTTTTGACAGTTGCAAGAAAGATGGAAAAATGAAGCTTGTAGATTTTGTTAGAATACAAAATACATTATTTGTTCATGGCATACGGAGAGATAATAATAACTCTTCTTTGCATATCTGTTGTTTCAAGATGAACTTCTTTTTAGCCATATTTTTGTCGCAAAACGGTTGTATTGTTTGCATTCATTTGAGTGTTTACCTCTTATTTTTGTTCTATACTCCTGTGAAGATCTCATATTTCCATTACAGAAAATATTTCTCTATTTATTTTCAGATTTTTATAAAATTAATTTTTTCTTCTTCATAGGGAGTAACTTGTGAAACGGACGTTAACGAATGTGCTATTTATGCTGGTACGAGTTTTGGTTGCCAGAATGGGGCAACCTGCATCAATACGTATGGCGGTTACAGGTAAGAAATGACATTTGAACAAAAGATTTCAAACATTTTCTTACTTTGTAAAGTATTCATTTATTTTATTAACCATTTATTTTATGCTAATTATCTATACTGCCTTTTTCGTTTTCCATTTTCCTGTCAGAATTTCTATTTCGGGTGTATTCAAATGAGGTGAGAAAAGAACAGTATTTAGAGGAAGGTTGCAGATGGTAGAATCGGAGCATGTTCCGCCTGCTGAAGACCACGTTACTAGTTGACTTGGTACTCTTCTGTTATCGGAACCAGATTCAGAAATGTATGTATGTACGCAATTACGTACATATATACATGCATACATGAATACATACATTCAAACACACATACATACATACATTTCTGAATCCGGTCCCGATTAACTCTCTCGAGAGAAGTTTATCTGCGGCGTTATTCTCCCCTTTATGCTTGTCACGCAGATATTTGGTCTGAGTCAGCTTGAGCCTTATGTGCCTGTGTAGCTTTTGGGATAACTACAATTTACTTAGTTAAGTTTAATTATTTAATTTCTGATTTATGCCATAAATGCTGACTGGTTCTGTAACCCTCTGTTAAATTATTTGAGTTAATAAAAGGCTACTGAAAACCATTTCCAAGTCTCTGGTGTAATTTTCAAGATATACCGAGAAGTCGCTTAAGTCTTTAGAATTTTCATCCACTTTATGTTACCAAAGAAACGAGACTCTATAACTTGGTAACATAATCTATGTATTTGTGACTTTAAAAACAAATGAATCTTGAATTAGGACTGCAGAATTTATTATTATTTAGCATCGCTTCCAAATTACGCGAGCGTTATCAAAATTGCGTAACCCATTATTGAGCATATTGCTGAAATTTAAAATGGTGTGTTTTAACGTATTGCTTTTCAGCTGCCAGTGTGCCAGTAACTGGAACGGAATTCATTGCACCCAAAAATTTGATGACTGCAGCACGGCATCGCACCAAGAACTGTGTGGACATGGGACATGCATTGACGAAAAACGAGTTCAGCCTGGACAGGTAATTCCCAACGAAGTTTACCTTATTCCTTTTCAAGCATCGACTATAAAATATTTAAGATTCTGAAGTGCTTTAACAATGCAGTTTGAAATATGTAGAAAAACAGGCTTTCAGTTATGCTTTGTTTATTCATTCTTAAATATTCAACTTCATTTAAAAATTATAAATTTATTTTTAAAATGTTACGAATCTCAGGCAAAAAATAATGAAGTTGAACACAATAAGTAGCACGATTAAGCAAATATGTTATCACTGACTATAATTTCTTTGCAGTTTAGTTCAACATTATCAAAACGTTGTTACAATAGCGAATGCAGTAAAGTGCAGTTCTGATGACACTTGACGTCAAGCACTGCACTTCTACCGCGTTTATTACACTAACAGCAATGCTTCATTAATTAGATTGATTGAGCTGCAACGAAACTGCACCAAGATATAATATCTTTCCTTACTTGTGCTAATTCCTCCGTTGAAATACTTCACTTACTCTTAATAAAATAAAATACAGATCAGAACATATAAAATACAGAATAATAAAATAAAATACAAATCAATGTGAAATACGGAGGCTATTTGCACATTTTCAGACAATTTTCATTGTATTTGTAGAAACATTTCACCCAAAGTTTTCGTGTTTTAAATGTTCTGTTTGGCAACACTTATTCTTCACTATCTTTTTACATCGTAATTTCCCAAAACAATAAAGCCATTTGTAGTATCCTTTTTTTAACTTATTACGTGCTCCGCCCTTTCGTACTGCACGGAAAGGGAGGGATGCCCCGTGGAGGTCTTTCTAAGGGAAACTGGCTCGTATCCACGTTACACATGGGGAAAACCACGAAAACGGCCATGCAGCCAGCCTGTTCGCCGGGACTCGAACCCTAGACCGAACTACTAGTGTTTAGCGCTTTTACCGCTCTGCTGCTGGTTCGCCCATTTGTAGTATCGAAAGAGATATTTTAACCCATTCTTCTCGAACAGCTTTTCAACGCCCAGGGGGCCGAGCGGTAAAGTCGCTGAACACTGGTAGTTCGGTCCAAGGTTCGAATCCCGCGAACGGGCTGGCTGCATGGTTGATTTCGTGGTTTTCCCCACGTGTAACGTGCATACAAGCCAGTTTTCCTTAGAAAGGCATCCCTCCCCTATAGGCAGATAGCCCTCGAGGCTTTGCCGTAATTAAATAGCCTAACATTCAGCATTTTGTCATGTTAATGTTTTGAACTATTTTAATAATGCTTTTGCACGTAACTTGACACAGTAATTCCATGCATATATTACTTTATTATAAAGAATTTTTAATAATTTAATACAGTCTATCCCAAAGGGCTCAACTAAAGGTGTATAAGACATACTTCCATAAATATAACCTTTCTGTGTATAATAAAAATTCGCCGATGAATTTGTGGTTCTCAGTGAAAGGAAAAAGGTAATACCAGTCTTTCAGTTCAATTATGTTTGGGTAGTTCTCATTCTTTTAGAAAATGCATACGTTTCTAAGTTTGGAAATAAGATGAAATGTCTAATGAAATTTGAAGATTAGAATAAGTAATGACATTGGAATATCACTCATGATATTTTACATCGCTTGTTTAAAAGAGGCCTTAGATAACTGATGCAAAATGTTGCAAGGATCCTAATGTTCAAAAGAATTTTAAGACTCTTGATCACTTTTAGTAACCAACGCCGAGGGAGGGTTAATACGTCAGTACTTGGGCAATCCGCTTTTTAAAGTTCAGAACAGCAAAAATCCAATGGGTTTTCAATCCATCAAGAGATTTTGTAGGAATATGAGTGAAGGGTATGGGTTTAATACCTGTTTCTTGTTCCATTTATTCCAGGAAGTTAACAGTGGATTGTGATAACTGGCTGCTTGCTTTGTCTTAATGTAGTTCTACTGATTGATGGAACTTTGGGTAAAGAAAAGGTGTTTCATATTTAAAAATTGGGTATCCAATATATTTCCGACAATATGTGGATTTGATCTTAATATTTTTAACCGCTTATTTTTAGTTTCCCGTTATATTATACAGACATTGGTCTATTTGAAAGGAGATGTGAAAAATGAGCAATGCTTCTCGCTGGGACTGAAACCACTACCTCTCGAATACGCGCCGAGTGTGCTGACCACTACACCACGAAGGCATGCTAAGAAGGCGGGAGAAATACCTTATAATATAAATCAACAACTAATCTTAAATCCATTTGAAAAACTTTCTTTAGATTCTTTGAAACGTACTTTAAGATTTGCTCTTCTCTTTGATGATGAAAAATGAATCTCTTTTATTACTTAATCTCTCATTTAAATACATCAAAAATTTATGTATCGTGACAAGCAAAACTTTGACGTTTTCTTCCTTTCTTATTGACAATATTATCTATCACAGCTTTAGACATCGATAAAACGCGGCTTTCGTGGTGTTTTGTAATAACTAGATAAGAATAATTTTCTTCGGAAAGAGCACAGACATAGTCTTCCATTCATTGCTTTTTTAAACACGCAGTTTCTCACGAAAACAAAACTGGCAAGTAGCAGATGATAATTCGCATTTTCAAAAATATACCTGTTTTGCTTGAATACCATGAGTTTTCTATAAAACAACTTGCTGTTAGATGTTAGAATCTAAGAATTATTAGATCCATGAATGAAATCATTCTGAGCATTATCGAATGCATTCCGGAGAAAAATTTCTTCCCTTAAACCAGTCCGTTAGGAAATGTAAATTTTATGATACAGGAAATAAGCAGTTTCAAGCAATTACAATCAATTCATTAAATGATTTTAATTAAAACTGCTATTGCTGCTTATTGTGAGCACTAATTTATTTTCAGCATTTTGTCATGTTAATTTTTTGAAATATTTTAATAATGCTTTTGCACGTAACTTGACATAGTAATTCCATGCATATATTACTTTATTATAAAGGATTTTTAATAATTTAGTACATTCTATTCCAATGGGCTCAACTAAAGGTGTATAAGACATACTTACATAAATATAACCTTTCTGTGTATAATAAAAATTCGCTGATGAATTTGTGGTTCTCAGTGAAAGGAAAAAGGTAATACCTTTCATTCAATTATGCTTTCCAGTTCTTTCTTCAGTCTTTCAGTTCAATTATGTTGGGTAGTTCTCATTCTTTTAGAAAATGCATACGTTTCTAAGTTCGGAAATAAGATGAAATGTCTAATGAAATTTGAAGATTAGAATAAGTAATGACATTGGAATATCACTCATGATATTTTACATCGCTTGTTTAAAAGTAACTGATGCAAAATGTTGCAAGGATCCTAATGTTCAAAAGAACTTTAAGACTCTTGATCACTTTAAGAGGCGACACTTATCGTAGGAAGATGACAAAAGGCGTTACATGGAAAGAAGCTTTAATGTATTTCGTTAACAATATTTCGCACTGATGGACTGAAATTGGTCGTTAATAAGTACTCCAAATATGATTTCGTTACTCAAATATTTTAGGAGTAAAATATCAGTAATGCTTGTTGATTCTGCTCTCTTAAAACTCTGGGATTTTGTTTATGGTTTAAAACCACTAGTTTTACTAGACAGAACATATATTTCCATTAAATCCGGCCTTTAAAAGGCATTTGGCTGCGTTTTAATCGCCAATTTTTTTTAATCTTTTAAAATATATTTCATGACTTTATTTTAAAACTTCAAAGCTACTTTTATTTCGCATCTCTGGCTATTAGAAACAGAGTTAGGGCCTTTCTTGTTCTAGCAGAAGTTTCTGTTTCAGAATACGAAAGGGACACTCTAAATAACTTTAAACTGAAAATTTTTCATTTCAATACATTTGGTGATACTCAAAAGATGATTCTGAAGCTTTCTATTGGTTGTTAAGTTCTCACGAATAAGATTATTTTTGCAATTTAATTTTCAGTTTTGGTAATACTTTCTTTTCATTCTGTTTGTGTTTACCTATTTTTTTTCTAAACTTGGATTTCTTTCAACTTTTGCCACGGGAAAAACTTTAACTTCATTAACTTTAGTAATTATATTAATTTTACGAAACTTAACAAAATATTCTATGAATATTGTGAATTAAATGAACTAAAACCTTAAGTTTATGTACACATTTTAAATTTTTGCAGTAATCCTGAAACTTTAACATATTTTCAGTCCAAAATATGAAAAAAAAATCAAATATATTAATCATCTATTTCTGTTATTTTAAGGAGCATTCTGCTAAATAACAGCAATAATATATTTATTTGTATTACTTTCCAAAATTTGGGTGCGGAACGTAATCAGATGCTTTATAAAAAACCAGCTTTCTGTTATGAATATTTTTGCAAGCATGTCTTAGAGAAGAAAAATATTCATCAAAATTACGTATCTGCCTGAAATCAGTATCGTTCTTCTCATCTGTAAACTTTTCCAATGTCTTGGTCAAATATTTTTGCAGTTTCGTCATTAGCAGTTACAGTTTCATGTTAGATTCTGGCATTATGTTGTCTAACGTTTTACTTAACATTCGAACTAGCCAGAACTGTTACGAGCATTTTTGCATTTCGCTTCATTTTCTCTTTCAGAGATATTATAAGTGTTCCTTTAAGAGTACAGACACAACTGCTCTGATGTTGTCATTGCAGTTTTAAATCCATATTACTTTCAGTTATTTTCTTACATTAGTTTCGAAGAGTTTACATTGAAACTGAACATAAAGCAATATATTCTTATTGCGGTGTTGAAAATGTGACTTCCTAATTTGGTGTGATACTAGAAGTATCAAATGTAAATCATGTCTGCATAAAATTTGCTAGCCTGAAAATTAGCGGAGTACATTGCGTTGACAATTTAATAGTAGGAATACAAAAATGGTTGACTTACCCAATAACCCCCATGCATGAGACTTGTAGAATCATTTAATCACACATTTATTTCATAAAAAAACTTCCCTTGAGTATTAATATATAACACATAATACGAAAATCATCATGAAGATCTTAGAAACACAAAACTAATATGTGAAACATGCGTGTCACGAGTACCGTCTATTTTGCAAATAGAGAGTCCGACTTATTAATCTTAATTAAGAACATCGGTGGTACAGTGCTCAATACTGATTTCTAATTTCACTATTTTATGTGAAGTGGTTGTATTGTAAACGCTATTTTTCACTATTTTATCTGAAGTGGTTGTATTGTAAACGCTATTTTTCACTATTTTATGTGAAGTTGTATTTATTTTATCATACATTTCTATTCTTTGAGCACATGGTCGGCTTCTAACGAGGTTGACGAAACAGGTCTCACATTTTAGGAACGGCACAGCTCGGACATTCGATGTAGGTTTACCTTTGGTCTCGCATCACGACAGATTAATTTCCATCCAAAATACTTATCACGATCCAAAATACTTATCACTAAATCGTGCACTTTTTAGAAAATGCAACATATCTTCTCATCCAATTCAGGGTAAAATAAAATAGCGGAGAGACGTAAGTGATGCTCCATAATACCAGGACGAGATGTGTGTGGCCGAAAGGCCCCATACACTCGGTTAAAACATCGTCAGCAGAAGGAGATCGAAAAACCAGTCTGTACAGTTTTTAAGCATGCGGCGCACGTGGCAGTCCAGCGATTACGATTACAGTAGCGATGAAGATAAGCTGAACGGTAGGAGAATTTAATGTTCTCACACTTATACCCATCTGCTTCTTCGCTCTGCTATTTCATTTATTCTACAAACTGCTCCAAATTTGACTTTTATTTCTCTCTTAAATAATAATTATTAATAATTTAAACTTTTAGTTTAAAATCAATAGTTTTTGTTTTCTTTGAGGCAAATATTTTGGCTATTATATATTGCAATTTCCCTCTTATCCCCTGTTATTTAATGATTAAAAAATATAACGAAAAATTATGTGATCTATTGAGAGTGGAGTTGGATGAAAAAACACAGCTTCAAATCAGAAAACTTGACCGAAAAGTGTGTAATAATAAATAAAGGTATAAGCAGAATACAATAAATGTGCACCTTCTCAACAATGGCACATCTTCATTAAAGCATTATCTGCTTAACGCAAAAAAGCATGTTAATTAAAACCATGTTAAATTATCTGTGCTTATACCGCGTCTAAATTCTCATCTTACAAATGTTAGCTTAATTTTTTAATTCATCATTTATGAGAGCACCTACATTTTTTCTTGATTTTTTAAATTTTCATTCAAATTTGCATAAGCTCTTCTCAATGTATGAAGATAGGAACCGACAGCAGTGAAGTCAAATTTAGCGAAGGTACCCATTTTGAATAAAGTCAAAGGAAATTAATTTTTAATTATTTTTACAGCCGAAATACCGCTGCATCTGCGATCCAGGTTGGCAAAGCTCTAGCAGCAGTCCTGCTTGCACGGAAGACATCGATGAATGCAATGGTCCTCAGAGGAGATGCTCCCAGAATCCCCTTGTTCTATGTATCAACTTGCCTGGAACTTTTCACTGTGGACCCTGCCCTGCAGGTGAGTTTTTTAATATGTTTTAGAAATACCAGCTGATTTCAATATAACCAGTTATTTATCAGAGAAGATTTTGCTTAAGAGAGCTAGCTGCATAAGTCCATAATCGTATGCCCCCAAAATATTGATTCTTTGTCATACATCAATTTGTTATTTCTAGCTGATGGAATTTACAAGAACAAGACTTCAGGCTTTAGCGTCTTGGATAACATTTTTAAATTTAAGTTCGCAATTTTTTGTCAATCGCTGTTTTGTTTTTAATATGTGAAACATGCGTGTCACGAGTACCGTCTATTTTGCAAATAGAGAGTCCGACTTATTAATCTAAGAACATCGGTGGTACAGTGCTCAATACTGATTTCTAATTTCACTATTTTATGTGAAGTGGTTGTATTGTAAACGAAAGGACCCTTCTTTTATCATACATTTCTATTCTTTGAGCACATGGTCGGCTTCTAACGAGGTTGACGAAACAGGTCTCACATGTTAGGAACGGCACAGCTCGGACATTCGATGTAGGTTTACCTTTGGTCTCGCATCACGACAGATTAATTTCCATCCAAAATACTTATCACCATCCAAAATACTTATCACTAAATCGTGCACTTTTTAGAAAATGCAACATATCTTCTCATCCAATTCAGGGTAAAATAAAATAGCGGAGAGACGTAAGTGATGCTCCATAATACCAGGACGAGATGTGTGTGGCCGAAAGGCCCCATACACTCGGTTGAAACATCGTCAGCAGAAGGAGATCGAAAAACGATTAAAAGATTAAAAAACAATTAAAAAAGGATTAAAGTCTAAACGATTATTATTTCTTCATTACATGTTATCTAGATAAGAATAATATGCTTTTTTGTCAACCTGCCATTCTGTTGAGGATTGGTGTCTCTTTTTAAGCACATTTCATTGCTTACAAATAATGCTAAATTATACTTATCTGTATCCTATAAGATATCATATGAAATCCATCACCTCATTTTAAACTAACCGACATAGGCAATCAGTTAAAAGATGTCTCATAAAGATATCTTGTTCTTTTTACTTCCTTGTACATAAATACTTTTGGTACAGCTATTTATCTATCTATCTCTCTTACTCGGCTCGCTGAGCGGTATGTTTTCATTCTGATATGTTGGTAAACTGTGAATATTTTGCTTTAAAAGTGATTGAAATATATTTTTCTTGTATTCTGCTTAAAGGTTTTATGCCTTTACGGAATCTGGATGCAATAGTTGTAGAATTATGAACAATTTAAAGCTTTAGTGGCACTAGGCCTATATAGGCCGCCGTTTGCTTACTTTTGAAAGGGGATTAGAATTGTATAGTAGAATAGTGAAATAGACTTAGTAGAATAGTGAATTCAATTAGTGCAGCTGGTTTTACTAATTTCGCATCCCTTGTAAACCTCCAAAATCTTACAAATTTAATCATTTTGTCTTCATGCCATACTGTTTACATGCAATAAATATCTTTTTTGAATAAATTTCTTTTATTCAAGTTTTAGAAATGTCTAAAATTTGATACTCGATCTATGTTGAAAACGTATTTAATTTTTTAGTTTAATTTTGTTTTTAGCCCAGTGGCTTCAAAAAAAAAAAAAAAAAAAAAAAAAAAAAAAAAAAAACAAACTGATGTTGACATTACATCACTTTCTTGTACGGCTAAATTATACATATTTTTGCTGCATTTCAATTAAACGTATTTCCTCGGAATTCATTAAAGATCTATCTCTCGTTTAATTAATTTAGTTCTCACTTCGTGTCAAGGCAAAAGTACATAAAACTCAATCTTCATTAAAAATTGTTAAATACAGAAAAACATGAAACACCAAATATAATTAAAACAGTTAAAAAAGCAATTGTTACAAATTATAGTTAAAAACTAGAGTTTCTACCCCTAAAACAAAAAATTCGGCCAGAGGGCGAAAAGGCAGATTTTTCAAACTTGCAAAACTGAAAGTTTTCTTTTGATCGCACTCGGCAAAAGGACACTGAAGATGCAGAAAGTGACTTAACTCACTGCTCTACAAAAATATTTCAAATATAAACAAATAGCGGTTTCTTTATGCTTAGTGGCACTTAAACAACTTTTATATTGCTGATAATTCTACAATTAGTGCATGCAAATTAACTAAAGGTGAAGCGAAAATTGCACAATTTACCAATATACAGTACAAAGTTTTAATCCGGACTCGTCGGGACTTCGGCGATTCCGGATTATAGATCATCATCTTAATTTAAATCTGGTAAGATGGCATGCAGAAATTATAAAATTAAAAATATGAAACCGTAATTTATGAAATAAAGAGCAATTATAATCTAAAGGGTATCAAAATTTACAAAAAAAAAAAAAAAAAAAAAAAAAAAAAGCTTAATATTTATTTGTTTACTTTATTAAACATTTCTTTCAATGTAAGTTGTTTAATTTGCTTCGTTTTTTGTTTTAATACTTTCTCTTTAATTCTATAAACAGACATAATTTCTTGTTCAGTTACAAAGTTCCATTGTTGAAGTCCTGTAATTGCTGTGTCGAGAATACCGACTAACTTGTCAATCGAATTTTTTTTTTTGTTTTCACTAACTTCTCTGTCACTTTCTTCGTGACTTTATCCATCTTTTACAGCAATTCCACTTTTTGTTTGATGAACATCGAAACATGCTCTTGCTTTGTAGATCCTTTGGCAGCTTCAGAATCGGAAATTCTTTTTGACATAATCGAAAGTTCAAGCTTAATTTTTATAAAATTGGTCTAACAGTCTGCAAAAAATAATAAGCCGGATCCAATTAGAAGATTAGGGAACAACGCAATCTGCAACATTAACTGAAATAGATAATTAGATAATTTTAGCCTAGCTTATACCGTCTGTTATACGTTAAACGCGCATGCGTAAACGTATTATGCGCATACGTAAACGCATTATGCGTTTACTTATGCGTAGAAAGTTCGTAGCTTTGAGGTCCGGATTATAGATCATTCCGGATTATGGACGTCCGGATTAAAGACTTTCTACTGTATAAGAATAAAAAAACTGAGCTCACCAAGGCGGGTAAGAGAGGGAGTCAACGATCTGAGGATACTCATTTTCGAGTTATGTGAGATACATTCATACGTTCGTACAGACGTCACAAAAAATTTCTCTTCTGAACCCATTTTTAATCCATCCAAATTTTTTGAGAAAAAGAGTCCTTTATTCAGTCCTTACGTACAGATGTCACTCAAAAACATCGTTCAAATGGATACGAAAGCGGTCAAAATGGATATTTTCGTTGAAATATGATAGCCGAAATTTTTCGCAATCACCATACTTCGTACAAGGAAGTACTTTTTACTTCGTACAAAGAAGTAAAAAGAAATCGGAATTAAAATAGATGCCTTTACGAAAGAAATCAAAGTTTCACTAATAAACTATTGTAATATTTTACGAATCAGTTCAAATGCAATATAAAATTTCTGCTTTCTTTTTTGAATCATTTTGCATAATGTGCCAAAATGATTGTTGCTTGACAGGTAGGTAATTTTAACATTTTTAAAATATTACATATTTTCTGACATCTGTCAGCATGTTTTACAAACTTTTGCCAGTTAAAATTAGCCCACTGCATTTTATTTATAAAATCAAGTTAAATATACCGTAAAGTTTAAAATTCGTTAATTAAGTAATGCATGGTATAACTTTTTTCCAGGTTATACTGGGGATGGATACAGTTGTGCAGATATTAACGAATGTGAAGTAAATAATGGAGGTTGTTCAATGCAACCTTTCGTCCAGTGCACTAACACAATGGGGTCAAGACTATGTGGACCTTGTCCGGCAGGTTAGTATTCTGAGGTTATATTGTTGCTAATAAATGTATGTGTCAAGCGAATGTCTTTGATTGAAATATAATTTTAGACCATAAATTACTGTTATATCTTTATTAAAGGTTAACTAAAACGTATTAGTATGTAGGCATGTTATGAAATAATGATAGAATTTACATGTTCTATCATTTTGCTTTCGATACGGATTAGGAAAACAGCTACTTAATGATAAGCAACTTCATCGTATATTGCGTCTTTTTAAAATTAATCTTTGTAAGTCAGAGCCTAGAATTCAACTCTTTCTTATTCCATAGCAGATATGCAGCTTTATCAAAACTTTTGAATTCATTACCTATGCATAATATATTTGATTGACACTCTCCATAACTTTGATAAGAGAATGTTACAAACTGTGCATCTCTTCTGTTACGTTTTGTAAATTGATGTTCCATATTAGCTAATGATGCTACTCAAAACAAGTAAAACATAAAGTTAACAAAGCAACAATTTTATGATTAGCGTAGACTTGGATAAAGAACTTCATCGATTTCGAGGGCAAACAGATACAGGTCCCTCTTCAGGAGCAATGAAATCTGCAGAACTGGAAAGCAGCTTTGATACTTAACTTTGATACAGCTTTAATACTTTTGATATGCCTGTTTCAGCAGGAATTATATCGCGCTATTACAGAACCCTCAAATAACCCCTGGTTAGCGGAGACATAACGTACAATGCTTCGCAGGAATAAATGGAAAGCAGCGGTACTAACGGTCGTATTTATAACCTACGGCAGTAAAGCGAATAAGCAGGTAGTGCCATCTGTCCGTAAAAATAGTAATGAAACTGAAAAATTAAGTTAATAAAATTTTAAAAGCGTTAGGAAGGATTGGATTTGACTTGAATATTGATGGATTTGATGTTACTTTTTTACGATTAATTTTTGCGATTAATTTTGCATCGGAAACTTATAAATTTGCATTTAGTTATACGCATTGTACTGAAACGCATTCTTTGAATATTTGGGACACTTAGATGGACATATGCTGAGTGCCACTTGAAGCAAGTGCAAATAAAATATCAGCCAATTTACCCTACATCGTTCGTATTATAGCAAAGTTTGAATGAAATACGACTCAGTTTGCAAAGCACTTCGCTAAGGAATTTCTAATAAGATAACGGTTGCGTACCCTGTAGTAAACAATTATTTTCGTACTGACAAATTAAGCTTTAAAATATAGGATTTACGAGTCATAATTTAAAATATATCATTATGAGCAATTAATATACAGGGTGGCTCAAAACTGTACGTAAAAAATGTAAAGGCATGTAGAGGGGATCTGAATAAGCAGATTTCGTATAGGAATGTATGTGTGGTAATGCCGCATTAAAGCACTAGCACGTAAGGTAGTATGAATCACAGGAAACTGAAAAGACAAGTAAAGACAAAAGAAAAAAATATTAACAGTTTACTATAGGTGTTTGAAAGAGCGGCCACCAACAGAGATTAAAGACTTACAGTGACGGCACATGACTTTAGAAAAGACGTCAGGCATGTCGAGCACATGTCCAGCAGCAACAGACAAGCGGGAAACAAGATCTTCTGCAGATATGTCGGGACTCCGGCACGAAGCCTTTAACATGACTCAAAAAAGAAGAAATCCAAACAGGTTAAATCAGGAGAACGCAGTAGCCAGAAAACTGGCCCTCTCCGTTCTATCCAATGCTGGTCGTAGACAGCGTCCAGGTAATTATTGACGTTCTCTCTGAAGTGAGCTGGGGCTCAATCGTGCTGGAACCACATTGGTTTGTGAACAGCAGGTTTAGGTAACTTATGTGAATACGTGCCTCGCCTACCGTATGGCATTACACGGACTGGACTCCGGCTGAAGGCCCCCATATCAGACAGGGGATAGGATCCCAGTCAAGAATTTCCCCAGGAGGAATGGTAGTTGTCATTTGCTCCCGCCCGGGGACCTTAATCCGAGGTAGTAAACTTTTTTAAAGTTTTCCTCTTTAACCATGGTTACGCCTGGGCTCGCGGGGTCACCACTCCCTGTTCTCAGGTTTGGGCAATGGTCGGGAAAGATATTGACTTAGAGAGTTGACTGGTCGTTAAAATGCCCCGCCAGTACTACGCGGGCAGTCCACCAGGCAAAAGGTTTGACATGAAATATCTGAGTTACCACGGACTGGCCGTAGCATTGTCCGCTACCAAAACCGTGGCTTTACTCGGAATACATACCAAAGGCCGAAGCCTTGCATGCTACCGATACCACCTGCCAGATGGCCTACAGCCTTTCCCTCTCGATCCAACCGTATAAACGATCTTGCCTCGGGGTTCTGGAACCATCAAGTTCTTAATGCTTTTTCCCCAGGGTACACTGTCATGAATAGAATCCAGTCAACACTGCACCCCGGGGGTAGGCTCTGTAAAATTGCTCCTCGTACATTCTTTGAGCAATTAAATCATTTCTTTGTGCAGCCCCATACACGAATTGCATGTCGGCAAGCTCCGCATTGGCGTAACGATGCATGTTGCTCGAGATCCGCGCGGAACATGAAGAATCCAGCTATCACAGCGCTTTTATACGCTGTACTCATCAGCGCTTTCTACTGCCTCAATGTGACATTACCGCACCCAATTTCTTATACGAAATCTGCTTATTTAGGTGCCCTCTACCTGCCTTTACATTTTTGTCATACAGTTTTGAACCACTATGTTTCAGCAAATTTTCAGGAGAGATAGAGGACACCTAGCGATGGATAAACCCACAGCAATGCATAGTCAGAAACGCTTTCCTGGCGCGCTACGACACAAAACACAAGAAAGAAAGAACACGGAGAGTGTGAGAATATATGTTTATTATGCTTAGTGCAACAGAAACCGAGAAATAAGAACAAATTCATATTTTCCTGTAGTGAATTTTCGCTGTTACTTCTTAGCTCATGAATAAACATCAGCACTGAACATCTCTGTCTGAGCAGTCTTCTCCCACAGAACACCATAAGTTATCCGAAGCCTTGGGTCGTCATCCTAGGGAGGTTTCTCTATATGATTGATCTCAGTGTGATTTTCTAACTGAATCAGTTTTTAAAAATATGCAGAAGTAACATGGGAACGGCAGGCTTGATCCGGTGCATTGGGCAGCAAGGATCGCGAGACCTCACTAGCATTGACTACTCCCTCTACGTGAAGACATTGGTGTACGAAACCCCCGTTAGGAGTGCTGAGAAACTTGTACGGATCGTGCCCGGTATTTTCCAGAACATCATATCTTCCATGTGCCGGACACTTCCATGTGCCGGATCTTCCATGTGCAAAACTTGTTGCACGCATCGTGGTTCCATGTTCCGGGAGGTCTCGGTATTTTCCAGATATTCCAAGGCCAGAAACAGGTCCGGGGTCGTAATTTCAAACACCTCCTTTATGACGATCATTGTCTATTTTTGTTCATATTTCATGCTTTCTGCTGCACCAAGCATAATAAACATGTTTCCTCACCCTGCTCATGATCCTCCTTTCTTATGTTTTATATTTTCACTACCGCGCCGGAAAAGCCTTTTCGATCATACACTGCTATGCGATTTTCCATCGTCTAGATGTACTCTATCTTTCCTGAAAGTTCGTAATTGATTTACTGAAACACCCTGTATATATATATATATCTTTAGCTAATTTAAATAAATATTAGCAATTAACTTTTTATATGTATATATATATTATTTATGTGACAGAAATTTTAACTTATAAGGTATTTCTCCCGCCTTCTTAACGAGCCTTCCTAGTGTAGTGGTCTGCAGGCTCAGCGCGTAATTGAGAGGTCCGCTGATCGGTTCCCGGCGAAGGTGTTGCTAATTTTTTACTTCTCTTGCTTTCCAAAAATACCTAATGCCTCCACAGTGGTGCCCGAACTAAAAGGGTGTTGGATGATAATTCTCCTCACCTAGGATTTGGCGATTGGGTCCCCAAAAACACCAGTCGGCTTTTAAAAGGGGGAGTATATAAGGTATTTCTTCCGCCTTCTTAATGAGTCTTTGTGGTGCAGTGGTCTGCACGCTCAGCGCGTAATTGAATGGTCCGCGGTTCGATTTCCGGCGAAGGCCTTGCTAATTTTTCACTTCTCCTGCTTTCCAAAAATACCTAATGTCCCTACAAACTTATTATTTGTTCATCCTCTGTGAACTGTAATAATTCATCGCTCTTGAAAGCGCATTATTGTAAATTGTACTGACTTTACATTTAAGAAAAAGAATAACGCAGCCAATAAAACATTCAAATTAAAATATTTCGTTGAAAAATCTCTGTGTGCACTCGCAATGAACGTTTCATAAACCACTAGCAAAAGTTCATGATTACAAATAGTTTTTAGGCACTCGATGAAAGAGAGTTTTAGCTTCTCAAAGAATAAATCTCTCCATCATCCCGTATAGTTCAAGTTATTCAAACTGAAATCCATTACTTAATGTATAATGCATTTATATTTTGATATAAGTGTATAAAAGAGCTTAAGATGTTAGGATCTCCTTTGAAAAGAATAATTGCCAAACAAATACACAGATATAGAAACAGCTATTTTAAATATGGACTTTATATGCCCTGTTTAATCTCCTTGCCGAAAATCGCTCATATATTTAAATAAGAATTACAGTTCTTTCTTTTTAGGGTATGCTGGCAACGGAGTTTACTGTTCTTTTGTTGGTGTATGTAGCATAAATAGAGGAGGTTGCCATCCACTTGCATCATGTATCGAAAATACAGGTAAAACGTACAAATAATAATGTCTTATAGTAAAATAAATTAATTTTTTCAGAAGTATATATACAGCTTTCCTGCCTCTTCCTGTAGAATAGATAGTTAATTTTAAGAAATCTTAACTTCAAATATTTCTTAATCTTCTTATGCAATCATGTCGACTTTAAGCATGGTAACAAAAGAAAAAAAAAATTTTTTTTTTTCAAAACTCAAACTAAATTGTTGCATTCTTTGATAATATGTTTTATTCCATTACAGTAATAGAAATGCGAGATCCGATGAAAGACTCCTCCGTAATAGCAGGAAATCATTTGAAAGACAATTTCTCTGAAACAAAAAACTCTGAAAACGCTAATTTTTGCACTCATTTTTCTGAATGACAAAATTAGTCGATCGCCCTGACAAAGTCATGTTCACAGTTACTGACAGCAACTGGCATTTCAGTTCCTTTTTCCTGGGAGCATATAAGCATTCTGTACCGCGCTACGCGCATACAGAAAAATCCGTACTTGTGATTGGACATACTTTCCGATGACATCATTTTCTCTTCCTCTAATGACGTTTAAGCAGGATTCTTACAGTTTTGTTTTCGTTGAATGACTTGTATGGGTGATACGGAAACGTGAAGTTATAATTTGTATTCTTTGAATAATAATGCTAGACGAAATAATTGTCATGCAGCCTTTTGCAGGTGGCATCCTGTTTATGGAATCATAAAATCCTTCAAAGATGCTGTTAATATCAAAAACAATCTTAAATACTTAGATTATATGAATAACCGAGTTCATAAATTTAGTGCAAAAAGCAAGACACATTGGATTACACGACCATCTCGACACAAATGTAAGGCATATGTGCTAGTAAGTGTATTATTATTGAAATTTTGCTGCATTAATTTCCTTTAACTTTGGAATATATTTCCTTTGGAACTGTATATGTTATTTCCATCTTAATGTCCATGTCTTTCCCACTTCTAATATTCTATTGCCTTACATGAAGGAAAAAAGTGCGTTCAGCATATTCGCTGAATACACGTGTATAAGAAAAGAAACATTCTTCTCTGATAAACGCTATTTTTATACAAAGGTATAAAAGATTTTACACATTAAAAAATGTGCAACATTCATACAGTACATATTCATGGGAAATATTCAATTTATACATACGTATCTCTATTTCTGTGTTCCAAATCTATAATAGCCTAACTTCACAAATAAATTTTACTTTTTCAGACTGACAACAAACATCGTGAATTTAGTGTGTATTAATGTTAGCTCCCAACGTTTTTGTTGTTCGCGAAAACTGCCTTGTCTCATGATTTCGGAAATTGTATCTATTAAGTATTTAATGAGTTTGAAACAAATCATTAACTAAAAAGCACTACATTTTTTAAATTAAATTCATCATACTACAGTGTAGTAATAAGCGTCAACAAAACTACAAAGCACGTCATTAACGGTAGTTACCTTTTCGGTGCTATCAAAATGTAAACAAACGGTATGGAGGTGTACTTTCCAGCCCAAGCTTCTTGGGCACGAAATTCACCTATTCATATTTCAAATTTCATTTCAAATTTTTATTCGTAATTCTTAGTCAAGGCGTTCCTGAGCGTAGAGGAAATGATATCATCGGAAGCTGTATCCAGTCATGCGGATGGATTTTTCCACGTGCTCGTGACGCGGTACAGAATGCTTATATGCTTCCCGGAAAGAATAATCAATATGTTCTCCCAAATCAGGGGTCCCAGTCCCCAAAAAAGGCAAATCCACTTTGCTTAAACTTCTTGAGTTGGATCGACTGGGTCAGCCAAACCGGCGATCTCTAATTCCAAACGCTCCTAGGTAGACGCCATTCAGGACGGATTTGTACAGGTGACAGGTGACAGCAGGACAGGGCATCCGGACGGCTTTCTATGTCTACTCGGGTGTTACCCTGGCCCTGCAACCATCTAGAGACTTCACAGTTGTAAGACGCTTAACAGATGTGTGCTTGATACATGTCACGTTACATCTACAGTATTATATGTGCAACTGTGCTAATAGCCTTGAACGGCACGTCGGCTTGTGGATTACTAAAAACAGTTACATTTCCATACTACGGATACACATACCATTGCTGTCCTAGCTACTTTAGTAAGCTTTGAGAATCGTTAGGCCAATTATGTTTATTGCATGTGCCCTATTCCGGCCTACAGAGGTCTATGCCCATTTTTTCTAGCTTGTCCATTACGCTTTTAAGCTTTTGCCGCGTGCCTCGATGTTTTACGAGGAGGCGTTTGAAAGGCAGAACATTGGTGGTTGGGAATTTGATGTGCCATTCTCCTGTTAAGGGGCACTCCGTGAAATAGTGGTCTGGTGAGCCCAAGTTGTCACAGACACACATATCAGTTGTTGCTAGACACCTTTCTGCAAAGTACGTCGGAAAGGGGCCGAGGCCTGTTATATATCGCGTGAGGTAGGGCGTTGAGATGAGCCGGTCCACCTCTACCTTGGACAGGAACTCATATGCTCTACGGCCTTGCGGGATTTGGTCCCATTCTTTCTGCCAGTTTCCAATAGCTGTCTCCTCTGACTCGCCGGTCACCCCAAGCAATCTTCAGGTCACGCTCAACTCCCAAAGTCCATCGACGGGGGTGCTACACCCGGCAATGCCATTAATATCAGACATATATAGCTCCACCACAACCGGGAGAGCAGACAAGACAGTACCATATGGTCCCTGCCGAGCCTGATCCAACCATCGCCAGCGGTGGTTCTAGTCTTCTAGTCCTGTGAAGACAGATTATATGATCGTGTGGCTGAGACTCCCTAGGTACAGATCTTAACCAATAGCTTCCTAGGTTTTACCTGAGTCGACCCACAGGGGCCACTTTTGAAAGTATAATAAGGATAAAAGTAGCGTAAATTTAAAGCTTAATTTCTTGTTGAAGTAAATAACTTAGAAATTAAATACTAAATGTAATTTTATCCTTTTACACTGCAGAAAAAAGTAAAATCTGACTGTGTAAAATTTGTCAGTCTTCATTGCAACAAGATAAGGCTTCAACGCAGTTAGGATAACCTCAGTGTCTCATCATAATCGCTTTCTCATGAGTCAATCCTTCATTTATTTGCTTATTATTTCTTATATAGGTTCGAAAAGGTTTAGAAATTTTACATAAAATTGTTAATGATTTTAATGGATACAGGTATCAGAATTTAATACTTTTTGTATGTGACTATTTGCTTTCGTGACTATTAAAAGAGCCAGCTATTTGTAACCAATTCAAGTTGCATTTAAAGCACTAGAATTTTATTGCTGACGAAGGAACTAAAGCTTCATTTATTATAAATTCTTGTATTTGTATTTTTGAAGTTGCTTGATTTCGTTACATTTCCTTCAAACAGCAATGACTGGCACCTACAGAGAATGTCGTTGCCCGCCCGGCTACATTGGAAGCGGTGAAGGTTTGCAAGGATGCATACAAGCTGCAGGAATGAGTTGCGCAGATAATCCTTGCAGGCATGGAACATGCGAAGTAAGAATATTTCATTATTTCTTTAAAACGTACGCATGCATTTCGAAATAAGAGAAAAAAATCCATCACATCTGAAATAATAATTATTCTATGACAGTAGTTTTCCTGATGACTTCATTTAGAGGCCAAATTGCGGTTACAGAGAGAAGTCGACACGAATTCTCGTTTTATGCAGCGGATTTGACAATCAGAGTCATGTGATGTCAGGAAATTCAAATTTAGATATTTTGAAAACATTCTTATAATTTTGTCCAATTTTAGCTGGTCTAAAGAATGCTTCAAAGGGAAAAAATACTTCAGCATTTGAAATAAAATCAAAACTTAATATAGTTCCCATGCGGAACTGAGATAAAATATCTGTGCACGTTTTTCATGCAAGTTCCCCATCAGCTTTGTTTTTATAAGCTTTACTTCCACACGGAAGTGAAAGAAAATATCTTTATACGCTTTACTATAAATTTACTACTGAACTATTCTATGTAAACCTAACTTCATTCACAATTTACACGGCTTTTATGTACTTTTTACCTCCTTCCACGAAATAAATGAAGTATTGCAATCACGAAAAATTTCAGGTATCATGTTTCAACAAAATATCCATTTTTACCGCTATTGAATGCGATTTAACGATGTTTTTGATTGACTTCTATACGTAAAGAACCCATAAAGAACTCTTTTTCTCAAAACGAATTGTAAAATGGAAATGGATTCAAAAGAAATTTTTTGTGACGTCTGTACGTACGTATGTATGTATCTTGCACTCTTAAAAACGAATAGATTCAGAACGTTGAAATTTTGCATATAGGACAGCTATAACATGTATATATACGCAGTTATTCACCTCCCTTTTTGGCTGTAATTGGCCGCAACGAAAGTATATATATATATATATATACACACGCTCTGTTACTCGAGTCAGTGAACTCAGTTTTTCTCATTCATATATGTTGGTAAATTGTGTATTGTTTGCTTTAAAAGTGATTGAATTGTGTTGTTCCTATGCTCCGGTTAAGATTTTATGCCTTTAAGGTAATCTACGTGCAATAGTTGTAGAATTATTAACAGTTTAAAAGTTGTTTAAGTGCGGCTAAATTTGATGGAACAGCCATATTTGATTACATTTGAAAATTAGTAGAATAGTGAATTAAGTCAGTGTCTGCACCTTCAGTCTCTTTAACTTGTAAAAATTGTTTTTTTTTTTTTTTTTTTTTTTTTTTTTTCAATTGTTTTAACTGCATGTGGTGTTTCATGTTTTCCCATGTTTTTCAATTTTTAATGAATATATTTTACGTTTTTATGTATTTTTGGCTTGTCACAAAGTGAGAACTGAATGAATTCAATGAGAAATATATCTCGAATTAAATTCTCGGAAATAAATTTAAATGGCCATTCGAGGAAGTCATGTGGTGGTCAGCCCATCAGATTTTAAAAAAAAATGAAAAATTGTGAAAATTACAAAATTAAAACAATACTTGCGTGACTTCCAGCCGCCAATAAAATATCTTAAAACTGATTCTAACATATAAATAGTTAAGTGTTAGCGCAGCTACTTTGGCTTATTTTGGCGATATTTTACAGATGAAAAAGAATGATGAATTATAATTACAAAACATATATTTTATATAAATACACCTTCATACCAGCACACACTATGTTTTAATTAGATTGTTATCAGGCACTCATTCCAAAATCAATGAATAAACTTACTTAAACCGTTTTCTGTTTCCTCTTTTATTTTGGCTGAAATTTCGTGACGATCGCTGTAGAAGAAAGCGATTCTTACTAATTTTGCAGTAAAATATTGTAATTGAATTCCAGTTCAATTGAACTGAAGTAAACCTGAATTTAAAAGAAAAATATCCTGAATTGGTACTTTTTCGTTTCGCCGGCGCAAATCTCGCCAAGAAGACTTTATTGGCGAAAACACATAGTATACACATTAAAAAATCTTTACAAATGTTAGTTCTAAGAATTTTTTATTTTGAAGGTATAAAGATTTTAATATCGTTTAAATTTTTGTAAAATGAAAATAAATAAAAGGAATAAATTTGTAATAAAAAGACGTTAATTTAAGAATTTTACTATGCTTTCATGGTACTAGATCCTGATTCACCGGTTTCATATCACGTGACCCCACGTGATCTCATCTCACGTAAACTACGCTACAAAAATCTAATTCTCTCAGTAAATAATTATTTCAAGTTAACATTATTTGGAATACAAGTTTAAATGCAAGAATTATTTCAATTCGTGCAAATTGCTTACTCAGAAATTATGTAAAACCGCAGAGGTTTACTTCGCTAGTGCATTCTCATTAGAATTAATCAATTTAACTCTTGACTTTGCCTTTTCTATATTTTTCGCCATCGGGTGAGCGATATGATTGTATCCTAATTGACTTAATTACTGCCCGCGAATGGCCTTAGGGCATAAAGTTGAACTATCTGGTGAAAATTCTATGTAATTGTATGCCAGTATTGAAACAAGCAATCTGATAAGAAATGGCTGCCACTTGTTTTGTAAAAGTTAGAGTAAAAGGTTACCAGCGAGGATATTTCGTTTGGCATCGGTTGTACTATTACTGGCGACTTTATCGTTTGCGCCGGCAAAACGGAAAAGTACACCTGAATTTTATGAGTACAAGTCCTTGGAATTTATAATTCAATAAAAGAACGCATAGAAAACTGGCGACTTTGAATGTCAAAACTTTAGAACTAAAAAGCGCGTAATTTCCCCCAGTTTGACACACTGGCGATTTCGTCTTAGGTGGTTGAGCTAATACATAAATGTTTATAAATACAACTGTAAATATTTCCTGTATTTTGAAATTCTTTTAGCATAGAAATCTCCTTTTAAGAAAGGGAGACAACGATTTAAAATATTTAAACGAATACAGGGATAGTAGTTAATGATAGTAGTTAACGAAGCTGACCGCCATACCGAAGAACCCTGGTTTGAATCCCAGAGAGAAAGCATGGATGTTTTGCAAATGTATACAGTGTCTGTGCGGCATGGGGTGTACTCTAAATATACGGCAAGCCAAAAGTCGTCTACAGTGAGTAGCGGTAGGGGAAGAAGGGTGGGAGACCCTTGGACTCGTCCTACTGGGGTTCTTTCAATCAAAACTGTGGGAAGAACTGAGAAAAGTCGTACTTTCACTTGTAAGGTTCTCAAGAATCTTGCCAACGACAGGCCCAATCTTGCAGTCTTTGCCACGCTGAATTTCGTGGGCTTTTTCTGATGTTATTGTCAGACAAGTGAGATAAGCAACAGCAACAACACTTACATACAACGATCGTACAACGATTATGTCTAATACAACGATTATTTATCATACAACGATTTAAAACATTTAAGCGAATGAATGTATAGCAGGTGTAAAATTCTTTCACATAAAATTTGTGGATGAGGTAAGGTAATGATAGTAACTCTTATTATATACATATTTAAACAGCTTGCTGGTCAGTCTTTCCGCTGTATTTGCTTCGCGGGTTATTACGGCACGCTCTGCGACCAAGAAGAAGATCCTTGTCTCAGTCATCCTTGCCAAAATGGTGGTACGTGCATCCGAAGACCAGGAAACTTCACTTGTATTTGTTCGGAGGGGTATGAAGGACCAACTTGTGCCAACAGCAAATCAAGTAAGATTTTGTTTTCTTTTCACTGGTTTTCAAAAATTCGTCATTCATTTATCCATGATTGGCAAACGCAGACTGAAAGAATTTGATGCCACTAGGTGACATTTTGTATATTCAAGAAAGGTAAGTTGATTGTTCTACGAATCTGGAAAGCTTAATAATTCTACAAAATCTAGCTTTGACTTTATAACTTACTTCTTCTCAATTTCCTCCTTAGTTTTTCCAATGATTCGACCTCGGGTAAAAGCATCCAGATGTCGTCTAACAGATTTATTCTTGGACATCTCACAATGATGCAGCAACTCGACGTTTTTTAAACGGCTATATACCATGCAATAGCTTTCCCAAAATGCTAAGCTAACAGCTCCAGTGATCTTTATACCCCTCCGACACTCCTCCATTATGACTTTAGTCCGTAATATGACTTTAGTGTCACCGTTTAAGGTATAAGTATTTATACCGTCGAGCGTCATGGGCCCTGATACGTCTTTAACATATCAGGGCTAAACCCTGATATGTTAAAGTTCTTCAAAATGTCATGAGTAAATGATATTTTCCTGATTATAATTAAAAAACGACTCTCTCAATTTTTACCTTGTCCCTTTTCTTCCAATATACATCCAACCCGATCTGGCAGAAATTTGCATGTATAATGAATAAGAAAGTGACCTGTCTATACGGAATTTTACGTCCATAACATTGAAAGGTTTAAATTTACATATCAAGAGACACTGACTTTTAACTCATATATTCGCGGATAAATATGAGTTATATTCGAAAATATTCCGTTGGAACATTGAACAAAACTAATATACATATCATTTTATTGAAATAAGAATTACAAGTGCAGACCTCCTTATTGTATTCAGAAATGAGCCGACGTTCTATAACCTGCAGCAATTCTAAGGCAGATTAATTTAAATTAATTGTCATCCATCCTGATGAAGAAAAATCCCCAATAAGCAAAATAACCTGCAGTAATTCTAAGGGAGATTAACTTAAATTAACTTTCGTATCCTGATGAAGAAAAATCCCCAATAAGCAAAATTACCTGCAGCAATTCTAAGGGAGATTAATTTAAATTAACTTTCGTATCCCGATGAAGAGAATACCCCACTAAACAAAATAAATTGCAGTACTTCTAAGGGAGATTAACGTAAATTAACTTTAGTATCCTGATAAAGAAAATTCCGCATTAAGCAAAATAACATGCAGCAATTCTAAGGAAGATTAATTTAAATTATCTTTCCGTATCCTGATGAAGAAAATCTCCAATAAGCAAAAGAAAACTTTAATCACAGGTGACAGAAATGCTTCAGATTTTCTTCGTCTTCCTGGACAACAAGAGCGGAAGTACTTCATTAGTGCAACATCCACGGATGAGAAGAAGATTATGCAGCAATTTTCTCGGCCCAAGGGCAATAATTGTACATGTTGGTCAAGTTCAAACAAGTGCATTTATTGCTCCAAGGCCGAGGATGTGCTTTACACAACGCAACAACAAGCTGAAAACAACTGTCGATCTTTGCTTATATAACGGGAGATCAACAGATGATTACATTACTTAAAGACAACAAGCTATGAATCACAAAAGGATTTACACGCATGGAAGCTTGAAGTTATTTTTACGCTTGAATTCAAGTACAAACGCAGCATACAGTGGATGACGGTCTACTAAATCTGAGATCATATCTAGAACAATTTATCATTTAGACCTGTGACGGAAATTCTAAAAAATAAAATAAATAAAATGAAACTTATAGAAATAAGTACAAAATCGTAAAATTTGTAATTAAGTAAAAATAATAAAAATTTCAAAATAATAAAACCTGCAAGCATCTTGGCTCAAGGAATTATAATAAAATGTAGTAAAATAAAAAAGAACTGAAATAAATAGCAAATGGTAAAAATTGCAAGTGACTATAAATAATAAAAATTTGAAAATAATTAAAAGTGCAAGTATCTTGTCTCAAGGGTTTGTAATAAAATGTAATAAAATAAAAATTATATAAATAAATACCAAATAGGAAAATTTCAAGTAAAATAAAAATAATAAAAATTTCAAAATAATAAAACCTGCAAGCATCTTGTCACAAGAATTTCTAATAAAATGTAATAAAATAAAAGTTACAGAAATGAATACCAACTTATAAAAATTTCAAGTAAATAAAAACAATGAAAATTTCAGAATAGTGAAACCTACAAGTATCTTGTCCCGAGGGTTTCTATACCGATTTTGAGAGAGAGAAAAAAGCAATTTTTGACATTTTGTGTGCATTTTGTAAGGAATGAAAAGGATAATTATTCTAGTCAAAATTACCATCAACCCCATAAGAACTAAAATTTTTGCTTTTGCGCTCCAGTTATATACTTGAAGTTATTTTAATAGAATTCGGATCACATTTATACATTTCTATTTCAAAAATATATAGTTCTGTTTCTAAAGATAAAGCTCTGCGTTCAAAAAAGGTTTAATAAAAGACAACAAATATATATTTTTGCTATTTGCTAAGGAATTTTAAGAAATGTTTCTGTGTTTTTGATATTTCATGTTTCATATTGAATTTATTATTTGTTCTTGTTCTTATTGATTTCAGAATCAAATTTTTATTTCTTATTTTCTATTTTACTTAACAATTTACTGTGTTTTTCCCCGTACGGTACTGAAACTGAAATATACAATGTATTTCAGCAAATCGGTGACAAATTTTCAGGAAAGATAATGTACACCTAGACGATGGAGAAACACATAGCAATGTAAGGTCGGAAACGAATTCTTGGTGTGACAGTGACGACACAAAACGCAAGAAGGGAAGGGCACGGGCAGGATGAAAATAATTCTTATTTATGCTTAGTGCGGCAGAAACCAAGGAATAAGAACAAAAACAGACGATGGTCATTAAAGAAGGTGTTCGAAATTACGACCAGGAGCATGATGCAGGAACCGTGTGTCTTGCATCTTCCATGCCCTGATGTAGAACTTTCATACGTCGGAGATCACAGACCGAGGTTGTCATTTCGAATACATTCTTTAATGCCAATCGTTGTCTGTTTTTGTTCTTATTTGCTGATTTCTGCTATAATAAACATAATGAAGCATGTTTTATCACACTATTCATGCCTCTATTTTATGTGTTTTGTGTTGTCATTACCGAGCCAAGAAAGCGTTTCCGACCAAGCATTGCTATGTGATTTTCCATCGTCTAGGTGTACTTTATCTCTCCTGAAAGTTTCTAACCGATTTTTTCTGAAACACCCTGTATCATGCAAAGCATTTTAATTTAATCTGGTCTGTTTAAACGTTTTTCAGCGACTATAAAAAAGACGCCTATTAAGACATATGCGAATTTGAGAGCATCTGAAATTATTGTAAAATATGTCTAATTAATTGTAAAGTTATCTTTGCGTTACTGTTACTCGGTCAGTAAAAGTCATGTTATTTTATTTCTGAAATATAAAAATATTTCATGCATCTGTTAATTTTGACAGATTTTGGAGTATTTATGTTTGGCTTATTTCTAAATCATTATTAATGTTTAAACTTCAATTCAAAAGCTATTACTTGTCTAAATAATAAATAAATAATAATAGTAATAAAACAAATAAATTCTCTCACTTCTCTGATTTCAAATTTAAGGAACTTTATAAAATACAATTTATACTGAGAAATTTATTTAGCCCTGCTTTATCCTATAAGTCTTGAAAATACTTTTATCTTAAAAATGCAAATTATTGATTAACAGTATAATATGATACAACTTAAGAAATGAATAACCTATTTTGATAATGGTTGAAGCATAAGACAATTTGCCATATGCTTAAATAGGTAAGAATTCCTCCCTTTTTTTAATCTAAATCTATAAAATTAATCAATTTATAATAATTATAAATAATTAATTTATCTAAAGCATCATTTTCAAAATAATTAATTTATCTAAAGCATCATTTTCACTTGCACTCAAATACCATCAAGGATTTCAATCATTGGAAAACGTATTGAGATGTGGATGATGAACCTAAGGACAATTTCGTTAATAGAAGCTCAGTAAGGAATTAGTGCTTTAAAGATTTTTTAAATCAGGGATCTCTAGCAAAATAATATATTACACATTTGAGAGCTTCTTCTCATTAGATTTCTTAACATTTTACAGCATGAGGCTTGTTTCTTCTGTATACACAATTAATGTAATTATAAAATTCCAGCGATAACTGATATATATATATATAGGTTACGGTGAAACACCGAAATCTGGAGAATGTCAACTTTCACCGGCGAATGTCAACATTCACATAGTCTCTTGGCGTATATCCGAAATATTTTCCAAATACTCTTATTTCTGACTTACACCGGTCAATGTCGACATTCACCATGTACTTAATGGTGAATGTGAACATATAACAATATTATATTTTCTTCTCTGTAATTCAGTGGCAAATAAACGCACTTGAAACTTGAAATAAGAACTTAAGAACATGAGAACCTAAAACACACAATATATTCAAAATGAGAAAGGAAAATAATAGAAGTTATAAACTTACCAAATTATGTGATTCAAATCTTATTTATTGCAACAACTTACACTATTATGGCACTTTATGACCTCTCTTTTCGACTTTCACCAGAGCATATCTGTGATTGTCGACATACACCGGTGAGGGTCCGAATATACAAGAATGTAGTGAAATATTCGGTCTTTCACCGACGTATTTGGTGAATGTTGATATTCTCCGGTGAAAGTCGATATTCTCCAATTTCGGTCTTTCACGGTAACATATGTATATATTTATATATATATCACATACACACAGATATGCATATATATATATATATATATATATAAGGCCCGGTGGGCAAGTGACATTAGAGATCCGGGGCTCGATCCAGGCTTGGCAAGGTTGACTCAGTCTTTCATCCTTTGAACGGGTGGATAAAATGAGTACCATGTTCGCTTGGAGACTAAACACCGGAACTCTTGCGATAGGTGCCGGGTGAGAGCAGCGTCCGGACATCCGGGCAGCTTTCACTGACTATTCGGGTATCGTCCGAATCCCGCAACTAGAGGGGCAGATGGTGGAAAACGGGTATTGCAGATTCCTACAATAGCAATGCTTATTATACAATATAAAGAAACTTACATCAAATAGTGCTGTTACTATGTTGAATTACCATAATAGTAATACATACTTCGTATTACATTATACATTAAATAATGCTCAATTATAACAGTCGACGCAGGGACGATACATTAATAATGAGGTCTTGCGACAAGCTGACCACTTCTCCAGGGCATATGCTCGTGCACCCGGGGGCCCACGGCCAGGAAAGCAGATACTGGAGCACTCCAGGCCATGGCCCGCTAAGCCTGCTGCGACTCTGAGTTTAGTTTATATATTATATGTAATAGGATGACTTGAAGAAAGCCGCGGCGGACTGACAATCGTTCTCTGCGTTATTTCTTCGATAGGCTTTACTGCGTAGTTAGAAAGATGGTACTCGAAGACAGACTTAGTCGTAACTTCCACTGATAAATTTACTCCTGGATAATGAATTCTGAGGAAGCATATTCTTTTTCATTTCATATCATCCTTGAAGGTGCGCTATGCACCCCATAATTTTATATGCATTGTGTTTTTAGGACAAATTACAATAGCTGGCAGAGGCTAAAAGAGAGTACTATGATGGGAAGAGAGCTGAAGCAAAAGTGCTCAGTTACCCAACAGGAGAGCTCAACAAGAGAAGTTTCAGTCTAAGTTAAAGATTCACTTCTCGAAATTTTGGTTCAATTTCCGAATTAGATACGTCATTAGCGTGTAGAGTTTCTCACTTTGTAATTCTAAGTTAATGTTGGAAGTGAATAATCTAAAAACTGATAAGCGAATAATCGCTTAAGTTCGGTGACAAGGAACAACAAGATAGAAGGGTAACTAACCCTTTATTATTCCAATAAGATTTAACAAAACTCCGCCTGGGAGTGTTCAAACAAAGCCCGCACTTGGACTTGAACTTAAAAGACTAAGAATTAAACTGAAACTAAGATTAGCTAAAGAAATATAGCCGAAGTAAACTAAAGAAATATAGCCGCGTAAATCAGAAACTCTGATTCTCTCTACTTCTGTAAGTAACTTCGTCATTTAAATACCGCTCCTCCTCATTAAATCTTCAACAAGATTCCAAAACTACGTTCTGGCCGGAAGTAGTAAGTTGAAGTTAAGAATTTGACAGGAAAGGAACTTTAACTTAAAATTTAACTGTTAATAAAATTAACATAATTCTTACAAGCGTTATGCAAACCATGTGACACAGAATGATATAGAAATAGGGCAGTCCAGGAACGTTATTACTATTTTTAGAATAGAGAGGGGAAATTAAGGAGTATTGCTGGTTTAAATTGCAATTTTGATATTTACGTATGTTTTATTCTTTATATATATATCATAGAAAATGATTATATATATCTATATATATAGATATATAGATATATCAAATCATTCTTTATGTGCTTTTGAAAAAGCTATTTCAGATATCTTTCAAATGACATGTTTAGTATTCGCTATTTCATCTTTGTGTATTTACACTGTGAGGTAAATATTTGGTTAAGTTGCATGCACTCTTATTTATTTATATATTTATTAACAGCATGTGGTGGTTTTCTGACTGGAAACAACGGAACACTTCAGTTCCCTGAAAATGGAGTACACTATGATCACATGATGAGCTGCGCTTGGATTATATCAGTAGATGAGGATAAGGTGAGTAAATATATGGGAATTTTTTTTTTACTTATTATTTACAGTCAAGAATCACATGCAATAATACTTTACTACAAACACGGCTGCAATCCTTGATACTTTAGTCCAGGGGTCCCTACCCCTATTATCCGCGGATACTACTGCGCCCGCCGACGGTCTTACCTGTGCTCGCTGCTCGATAAAAAATTAATTAAGTTCCGTAAATTTTTACAGTTAATAATTAGCGAAATAATATTAACTATTTGAAGGCATGGAATTGGTCAGTTTGCAATTTCGTCCCGATGTTATGCTAAAAATTTAGAAAATGTCAATCACTTTTAAATATTTTAACGGGAAAATATAAAACGCATTTTAACTTCTCCCTTCAATACCTAACGAGGCAAGTACTGTATGTCCCTGTTATTATATGGTACCATACGTAGAGCTTAATTATTTGCTCTGCATCATGGGGACCTCTACGAAGGGGAGTCCCCACTTCATGGTTATTCCCTAAATGGCATATTATATTTATTGCTAGATTTATGCTCATATTTTTTAGCGTACGTGTCTCGTACTTTATTGCTGGTGTCTTCTGCTTCATTGCTTTTATATACTTTGTTTTTTTAAACCCAAAATAAGTGACCCAAGTTAAAGACAATGAAACTCTAATTTTAATACTGACCAGGAAAAATCATTTTGTTGCCCCAGTCTTAACTAAAATGCATCTATTGCACGCAGTAGTGTCGCAGCGCCGAAAAAACGTAATATTGAACGCTATTTTCAGACACTTTATCCCACTTTTAATACAGCCTGTTCGCTTAAATCTGGAAGGAAAAGACATAAAATAAATTAGATAAAATCCCATCTATTTTCCTAACAGCCAGTTTTCACTTAGAATGTAGTAAAATGTAAAATTTCCAAGATTGTTTCTTCCAAAATTTCTAACATACTCGGAAAGAAGAAGCTTTTTCCCGATCATGACCATGAATAATTAAAAGAAGCATTTTTAACTGATGCCGATTGTTTACTTAAGGCTTTTTTTTTAATAAAAGTGAGATTAGGCCATCAATGCAGAATGTCAGAGACTTGCAATTGTCAGAGAACAATCACAAGGAGATCACAAAAAGAGTCACAAGGAGATCACAAAAAGAGTCACAAGAAGAGTACATGTTATTTTGAAAGGCATGAAAACTCGGTTAAAACCCTCTGAGCGGTTCGGGGTTTTGGATCTGTCATGAAGATCTGTATTTAAAGAGATTTTATTAGCTAAATTTGTATATTTACTTACTTTACGCTCTATTTTCATAAACTTACATTCATTAAGATCATCTAAGAAAATCTAAGAACATCTTACATCTAAGAACACTCACATTTCCGAGAATGGGGTATTTTCTCGATTTTAATGCCAAAATATCATTAGTACTTTATACCTGCATTAATGTACTTTTAATAAATAGTCTTAGTGTCTTGGACATATTTCAAGATGCCCATATATACACGCTCTAACAGAGATCACAAAACATATCTTAGGCTGTATATGTACGACCTTGAGATAACCTAGGGTACGAAAATCTATCCTGCATTGTTGAGCTAGCAGTTAAAACCTTCGTTAACGACAATACTATTCAGTTGGTGTCGGAGAAAATTTTCGACGAAGAACAGATCATTTACATACAGCACAATAAAAGACCATAACGTAACTGTTCGAAAAGTTATGCATAGGTTAAACAACATATAAGCTTCTTTAATCGATCAATATTTAAGACGGTAACGGATAATTTACTATTAAATAGCTTTTTCCGAGATTATAATTGCCTATAGAATCACTCTGACAGAAAACTATTAAATGTAAACTTCATAAAAAAAGATCTGCCTCATCGGAATATAGGAATCTTTTTCTAGATGAATATTCTAAGGTCAAATGTATTTGGCAATTATTGGAAACAGTAATTAAAATCTCTTTAAGTAAATGATATAGTTCTAAGGTTATGCTATACATGTAAATAAGTCTAAGAAAGTTCTGTGAAACTTGAGAAAATTTGGGGCTTATTTTACATGAAAATACTTTAGTAGCATTTCTTTCATCATATTTCCGTTAATTATTCGTAGATTAGGTAATAGTTTCAACCATTTTATTTTCTGTACATTTTCCCCCTGTTTACTATTTCGTATATGCTTGCCTTAAAGTTTCTAATGCGCGCTAATATTAAATTATTCCACATTCTGCTTAGTATCATATTCCATATATACACAATTTCACGGCATTTTTAAGAAGAAAAACTTCTTATATCTTCTCCTCTACAGTGTCTCACAAAAGTGATGGGACACTTGTGCTTTACAAAAGGAAACTGTAGTAAAATAAATTTAAAAAGCATGTAAAAATTTTGTGTGTGTTTCATACTTAAATTTAGTAACAATTATTACATAACATACATTTTCTCAAAATATTAAAATATTAATTTAATAAAAATACAATTGTTTAGACGGAGCAAAAAATGGCTTACATAAGTGATAAGACACTTACTTTTTCCATCAAATATTTATCCAAAAATTTTACTTTTTAAAAGGTTTTAATATTTTGTTGGATTTCCTTTTACTTTTTAAACATGATTTAATCTTCTTGGGATGGATTCGACTAATTTTTTTGTGATTTCTGGAGTGATTTTACCCCATTCTTCTTGAAGCACCGATTTAATTGTTGTTTGAAAAATGGTGTGTTTGCGATTCTTGATTCCAATTTTTGCCAAATATTCTCTATGGGATTTAAGTCTGGAGATTGTGGTGATGTTTTTATTATTTCACGATAGTTATACAGCAGCCAGAGTCTAACGTTCAAAGCAGTGTGCTTGAAGTCATTGTCCTGGTAGAATTTAAAATCATTATGAAGGTTCAATTTTCGTGCTGAAGATTTCAAATTTTGATTTAAAATGTCAATATACTTGTACTGATCCATTATATTGTCAATGAAAACAAGATTACCAACATTCTTCCCTGGGTTTACTCCACATCAAGATTCTACCGTCAGAACCAAATATATTAAATTTACTCTCATCATCAAATATAACTTCATTCCAGTAATCAGAATTCTTATTTATGTTGGATTTTGCGAAAGCCAGTCTGAGTTGTCTATTCTTTTCACTCAAGAAGAATTTTTTCCTGGCTGCTCTACCGTGATATCCAGCAGATCTAATTACTCTTATAATAGTCTCAGGATTAACAATTACTCCATATAATGCTTGTAAATCAGACAGCAACTATAGGAGCACTCATTCTTGGAGTTTTTTTTTAATATTTCCAACGATAATTCGCTTTATTCCTTTGGATAGCTTTGATAGTCGGCCAGGTCTTCTTTTATCCTGAATCATATGATTCTTTTTATATCGTTTAATGATATTTAAAACTGTTGAATGACTCAAGTTAGCTGTTTCAGCAGTTTCTCTAATAGATTTTCCACGTTCAATATTCAAATTAATAACTAATTTTCGAATTTCAGGCAAAGTTTCTTTTCGTTTAGCATTCATGGCTGCACAGAGCTAAAAAACACAAAAATTCCCAAACAGACTGGGAAGAAATACTGCAGACGATTTTATAAATTATTGTCAATTGCTTTTGAGTAAAAATAAAAACCCCCAAAAATATTTTTATTCTAGTATGTAGTAGTATCTAATGATGTTCCATCACTTATGTGAAAATAAATTAATATTTTAATATTTTGAGAAAATGTATGTTATGTAATAATTGTTACTAAATTTAAGTATGAAACACACCCACAAAGTATTTTTACATGTTTCTTGAATTTATTTTATTACAGTTTCCTTTTGTAAAGCAGAAGTGTCCCATCACTTTTGTGAGACACTGTATGTCTTTAAAGCATAAGTGATTTTCTTAAAGATACCTTCTCGATTGTGTTATGACTATACCTCCTTCATTTAAAGTTTGGTAAAGGATACGATAACGGAAATAATTCAAATAACGTAACCAAATTTACAACTAAAACAACTTTTTAAAGTAAGTTGTGGTGCTGCCATCTATTGACAGAAACTAACTTAAATTGATAAACTCCTGCTCAGCAAAATGAATATCGATATCATGCTGAAGTATTTTCATTGATGTTGTGATGCTTAAAAATATTTCAGTATTTTGACTACTGTTAGAATTACATGTAAATCTAATCCAATTCTGATAGAAAAATTAGACATACTTATATTTTTAATATGTAAACAAAATAATAAATTTAGAGTCATATCATAGATAACTGTAATCATATCTACTTATCGAAAGAAATTATTTGGACTCTTTCGATAGTCCAAATTTCGGTTAGACAACAAGAATTCAGTTTAAGAATTGAAATAGAAAGGTTATTTTCTAAATTCTAATAAGTCAAAAACTTTATAATCTCAATTCTTTAGTGATATAGTATTTATATTTTAAATATGTTTCAAATTTTATAATTTGTATTTATAATTAATGATGTTACTAGCAATTTTCTCAGTCCTTAGAACTTTTTCATAAAAATATTTTTCTTTGAACGGGAGAAATATGAAAGAGAAATTTAAATTTAAATTTGCAATTGCTTTTCATTTAATATTTTTCATTTCACATAAGGAACTTTAATATGTTTATATGTATCATTTCTGACGTAAGGTCAATTCTAAATGAATGGTTTTTATATATAACATACGTAACTCTGCTGACGCAGAAGTGTAGATAACAAGGAAGAAGATAAAAAAAATTTTATATTTAAAACAAAAAGTCGAAACTTTCGAGAACCAATAATAGCTTGATAACAAGACACTCTAAGTAAGAAGCTTAGAATATTCTTTAGTAATTTATTTGTCTCTAGCCTAGAGATTCAAAGAATATCTTTTAATATGTGTTTTAATATCTGTTTTAATCGAGAAATTATGCAAGCTCCTTCAATCTAAAATGCAAGGAAGAAAACCTGTTTTTCTCTAATTCTAGCTAAGCTGCATTTGATTGCTCTGGCTATAGTATATTTTAAGACGCAATTGATGTATCAACAACTGGCTGTTACCAAGCAAAGGTTTCCATCATTTTTTCATTATTGATTCACATCGTCCCCCACTCCGAACTTCTTAACCCATATTTCCTCATCGTCTTAAAAATAGGAGAGCACACATAAATTGTCTTTGTATAAAATCTTTGAAATAATTTAATTCAAATAAAATAGGTTTTATTATTTAAGAGTCATTTAACTGTATATTTGTTTTTATCGTAAGATAGAATTAATTTAGGATTTTTTTATTAATTTTTTTAAATGGGGAATTTTGTAGATTTCTTTGCTTATGATTTCAACGTATAAGTTTATTAAAATTTTGATCTCCAAGGAAAACATACGTTTAAATTTATTGAGCTAATATTCCACACTCTTATATCAGCAAAAAACATTATCAAAAAATTTTATTTAAAAGATAATTTTTTTTTTTTTTTTTTTTTTTGAATTTTGACTGGCCTAAAAATAAGACGACGGTAAAATCCACAATTACCAATTACCCATCAGTTTGTAATGGAGATAATCCCTTCTTTCTCTGTTACGTTCTAAACATTGCTATTCTACAACTAACCCAAGCACTTTAGTCTAGCTGGTAGGTGCACATCACGTGACACAGAGATGTGTGAAATGTCGGGGTTGTGTAAAAGTTTCAAACATTGATTCATGAATTCTCTGCGTTCTGAAATTCATCAAGTAGACTAAATTTCTCTTTTTTACATGCTTGAATTTTGGAGAAAAACAATTATTCAAAGACACAAAATAAGAAACCTACTAAGAAAATCGTGAATGAGGTCATTATCTCATAAAATTGAACAGAACTTGCTGTCAATAATTACAAAACCTGAGATGCGTAAGATTTATATGGATAATTTCACTTCCCATGAATTGTTATCCGTTCTTGCAAATAAAAACTTCTTCGATACAGGTACTGTTGGAGAACACAAAATGTCTAAATGCCCACTTATACCCTCTAAAACAAAGTCAAAAATGGAACGCGGCCCTTCAGATTTCAGTCTTGATTCAAAAAACAAAGTTGCAGCTGTCGTACGACATCGTACAATACGACCGTCATTCCATCGAAAATCGATAGAATGACAGTTCTCTCATAGCATTCTATGCAACGTAACAGAGTATGCCCGACGATTGCTTTTCTGCCCACAGAGTGTTTCTAATATATTTTCTGCAAATTTACTAACTAGAAAGTACTTTTTTCCGAAATAATTTTTTTTTGGTATTAAGAAATAATCATTTTATTTCTCCTCTGAATTATCAGCAGTTTTATTCAATTTTCCCTTCCAGGTTGTGAATATTACTTTTGATCACTTCGATTTGGAACCAGGACACAATTGCGAATTCGACTTTCTACAACTCAACGACGGTCCGAACGTTGGCTCTCGTGTGATAGACCGTTTCTGTGCAGAGGATTTGCACGGAGCAAACTTTTCCAGTACTCATAATGAACTCTACCTCTGGTTCCAGTCAGACAGTACAGTCGCCGCAACAGGATTCTCTCTCAACTGGACAGCAATTGAACCCGGTTAGTCACTGCAGAATAGAACTTATAACTAGCTGAATGAAAAGTTTAAATTATTTGTTTTACTTTGCCAGTACTCTTGTTAAAAAATAAGGTCGTTCAGGGACATATCGACACCTCAAGGGAAAATATGTATAACTGGTTAACATTTAAGGATTTTATCATTTAGTTTAACAAAAAATAATTATTCCTGTATTAGTAACACATTATGAAAATTTGGCTTACCTGAAAAACATCATAGGTCATACAAATGCAATGAACAACATAAAAGCCAGATGTCCACTTCTCCCGTAAATGCAGGAGATCTCGACAGGTATCTACGGAGCGGCAGGTACAATTCAGAACAATGGCTCTTTTTAAGAAATTAGGACAACGCACTATGGAAAAGAAAGATTGACGGACTAAACACATATTAACAATGCAACAATATACGTATATCCTCCCTTTATAACTATGTACATTTGTTGCATGTAAACTGGGGTTGATTTCCCATTTTGTACACACGCCTCATGGAACCACGTAACTACAGCTCTCCAACACATTTTAGCCACTTCTGTCCGGCAGTACCATCAAAATAGTACCCACCGCACTCGCCACAGTAATTTTCACTGTCTTCGAGATCCCTCGAGGTAGGCCTGAGGTTGAGTTCCTCCCGTTGACGTCTAGGTCCCTGTGTTGGCGTTTTACTGCGCAGTTGACTCCTGTATTCTGTGGATGTTATAATGGCTGATTCTTGTTTTTTCCTCCTATTCCGTACAGAGTGGTTCTGTTCTGTACTACTGGTACAGGGCATAATTCCGAAAATGATGTAGAAAGCTGATGCAGTAAGATGGTGACGATGACCTCTGGAGGTTATTGTCTTCCTCTACCATAACTGGAATGGTGCCATTTGTAGTAGACATGATTTCATATTCAAACACATTGTCTTCCAAAATATCGGGATTGTATGGGTATATTCCACATTTTCGAAAGCCATTGGCAAAATTGCCCTATGTAGCAGACTTATCCCAAACTTGCTTGAACATTTCAACGAAATCGTCTTTGGTGATCCCCTTTCCTGGATGGTGGTGAACAAAGTTCCTGCATGCCTCATAATAAAAATGTTTCAGGCTCTTGAAATATGAAACATCAAGGGGTTGGCATTTGCAAGTACTATGTGGAGGGAGACACAGCATCTCAATTCCGAACAATGACGCTTTGTCCAGTGTATCCGGATATTTGCAGTGAGAGGCGTGTCCATCTATAAGAGTAAAACATTTCCTTGTGGTTTGTGTTTGTTCAGATGGTCAAGAAATTTGTTGAAGACTTCGCTTGTCATGTATCCAGAATCTGACATCTCTAACGGTAACCCATTTGGTAAACCTCTGGCATAAGACGGTTTTTGCCTAACACTCTTCATAGTGACAAAGGGGGTGATGGCACTTCTTGTTGCGCTGCTACAAACCATGGCAGTAACAGTAGACCTCTTTTTTCCTATTGTGGCGTGGTTCACGTCTTCTTTGACTTTGCAAGAAATCACTTTACCAGGTTTGAAAATTAGCTGCAGTCCAGTTTCATCGGCATTCCAAATTCTTGCCGGCTTTTCCCACAGGTTCAACGCATCATACATTTTCCGTAAATTGTCAAAAAATGTTTCGTACTTCGTCTCTATTGAGACCTCTGGAACGTACATAGGACAAGCCTTGTGTTTTTCTTATTGGCAAATTAGGTGTATTTCTAAGAAAGAATATACGCAGTCATATCCTGCCTTGGTCTTGTCTTTGTTAAACAAGTGCGTTAGATTATTTTTCTCCGCAAATTTAAATACTAGCTTCCTAATATCGTTTACGGTCGTGCCAAACTCCTTGGAATCCAGCAATAATATATGTTGAGCCAGTTCCCTTTCCATAGCAGTATCTAGTGTTGTTCTCTTTCCAATTCGACTGTTTGATACTGCACCTGTTAGTACCCTGGCCTTTAGTGTGTTGCTCGGAACGTCGAATCTTTTGGCCGCAGTTGCAAGCGCCATTTTGTTCTCTTTTACCTCTCGTATGGCAGCCGCCATATCTTCCGGCTTCCATTTCCAAGCACTTTTTTATATTCGTAAGTGCGAGGCATTTTTTAACCCTAAAATATCATAAAACGAAAACAAAGTTAATATTAATTCTTTCACTAACTATCGGGTAAAGAAATACCAACAGACTTCACTTATACAAAATAATATTCAAATAATTGGTATATTTCCAAGATAATTTACATGAATTTTCCAAAATTTAATTGATAATTTAATTGGTTTAAAATGGTTTAACTTGTAGTGTAATTTGGAATTAGATTTACATAAACGTACAAGGTTTCGCTTACATGAATAACTGTTATATTTTCAAGATTACATAAATTAAGATTATAATTACGTTTTCAAGATTCTTTGCAGTGTACATAATGTTCCACAGAGGAATTTATTACTGCATTATCTGATCGGTTTATAAGAAATTCGGAAGGCAGCTGTGGAGCAGGTATTATATATTATAAGGTTTATTCTCCCTCCTTTCTGCATGCCTTCATAGTGTAACAGTATCACACTCGGCGCGTATTCGAGAGGTCTACGTTCGAGTCCCGGCAAGGGCATTGCTCCTTTTCACCTCTCCTGTTTAAAATAATCTAACCTCTCTACAGTCATGGACCTTATAAGAGATACACTAACCCAGTGGGAGGAGGGGGGGTCACCGACATGTCCGCAAGAAAGAGTAGGGACGATCTGGTTTACTTTAACACTGAAACCTATGTCGTTTGCATCACATAACTCTTTTTAATTATTAAACGTGATACGTTGTATAGTGATGAGATTATGAAAGCCATAGTTTTTTTCAAATAGGATTTAATATATTTCATTAAAGCACTTTTTATTGCATTTCGCGCATTTTTTTCACGCGTAATTTTTGTACAAACATCTTTACTTTGGTAAAACGGTAAAAACTCTAAGCACAAAATTTATTAACTTAATTTTGCGTAAGAATAAAGTAAAATTAAATAATATTGATAGTACGTGATGCTTTGAACTAAATAAGGTAAAATTAAACTAGATCTGTTAATTTTTTTAAAAATTTAATGAACATTTTCAGGTAGTGATTTTCAAAACTATAATAACATTACAAAACGATTATTTATTTGATTATATTATCATTAAATTATTAACACTGAAGTGGATTATTTATTTTAGTAATTTATAAAATTCGGAGCATAAAATTTTCTGAGTGTAATGAAAGGGAAAAAAGATAAAATAAAATCTAGAAGCACTCAGATTTTATATTACGTCCGAAAAGAACCTTTTTTTAACGTTTTGTGTGTTACCTATGTTTATTGAATATCATGTTCTTCGCCCGTAAACCACATACATTTGAAAACAGCATATCTTTAGAATTTCCGCACTGGAGATAAAAATGTTATTTGTTACCATTGCTGGCTTTGAACTCCTTGAGTTTGTTAAATCAAAAATTCGTTAAAGTTTTACAAAATATGAAATAGATTAAAACAAATTCGAAATTCGGCCGTCCAGATGCCCATGTTCGTGTGGAGGATTACATTATTCAAAATTTGATGGCTGTAGATACCGTGGCTTTTGTCACAGTGCGAGAAACATGCATGTATTCATGCAGATTCTTCATTATTTAATTTCTTTAAATATAATACAGGGCGATAATATTTGGTAATAACAATTTTCAAGGAGACACGGACATTTATAGCGAAACAGCGCAAAATGCCGCTTCGAATCAATTAATAATTCTTAATAAATTAAATTAACAGTAAATAAAAAAATCTTCTGCAGAATTAAAAATAAATTCAAAAATAATCACTATAAAATACAAGCAAAATTAATTATTATGGTTAAATACAATTTTAATATATTAATTAAATGTATAAAAATTAAGGAGTCAAAAGTGTGTATCACAATGATGTATTATGAAATATAATTGAAATAAAATTCCTTTATAGAATTGTGCTATGATACTCATCTATAATTTTAAAAAAGCAGCACAATTTAAGATTTTAAACAAAACTTTCGAAAATTCGCTTTTAAATATTTCAGTATTTTTACTTATATACACCAATAAAAAGCATAAAAATTGCATGAGAAAATTGCTTGTTCGAAATTTTCTGTTAGTTCAGATTTAAAATATTATTTTCTAAAAGAAGTACTAGTTACAAATTTCGTTACAGCATAGAAAAGCTAAAAAAATATCCAGCCCTGAAAGCATGCAACAGCTTTATAATTACTTGGAACGTTAATTATGCTTTATAAATATGCTAAATTTTTAAAAATCAATCTCAGTTTCAAAAATAAAAATATGTAGAAATTCTAAATTGTGAAATGTGGCGCTACAATCAGCTTTTTCTTGACAATTATACACGCTGCAATAGCCAACCATTGTAAGTTTCTGCAAGTCGTCCTTACTCCTCGGTATATGGTCAAGGAGACAGACGAGAACGCGGCAGACGATTTGGGTTGGTCTATTTCTTATAAGGTCCGTGTCTACAGTGGATCGCGAACTGAAAGGTGGTGGATAATGCTGCTTTACTATCAGGATTTGGCGAGTAGTTCCCCTAATCCCCACTCGTCCTTTGAAAGTATACAAGGTATTTTCTCCTTGCTTTAGCCTTCATGGTGCAACGGTAGCACAATTGTGTGTGTGTGTGTATTGAGGATACGCCAAAGCAGACTAGGGCTATCTGCCTAAGGGGAGGGATGCCTTTCGTGGAGGACTTTCTAAGGGAAACTTGCTCGTATACACGTTACACATGGGGAAAACCACGAAAACGCCCATGCAGCCAGCCCGTTCGCGGGATTCGAACCTCGGACCGAACTACCAGTGTTCAGCGATTTTACCGCTCGGCCGCTGGTGGGCTGTAGCACAATCGAGCGTATTCGAGAGGTCCATTGGGTATTGCTCACTTTTTGTGTCTCCTGCTTCAAAATATCCTAATGACGCTACAGTATACCTGAACTAACAATCAGTTCTAAAAATCGCTAAATAATATTTTAGTCTTCTAGAACGATGTTGAAACAATTTATGCCAAAAAATTAAGCGTAGTTAAAAAATGCTTTGCAGAAAGAATTTTTTATGAATTCATGTATATTTTATGTAAATATATTATAATATTATTTTCCATTTTAGTTTGCGGAGGTGTTCTTCCAGTCGCAGATTATGGATCCGTAAATTCCCCAGGCTACCCTGCCTCATATCCTCGTAACAGGAATTGCTCGTGGACTGTTAAGGTTCCCCCTGGAAAGAGGATACAATTCGTATTTGCCACCTTGCAGTTAGAACATCATGAAAATTGTTCGTATGATTATCTCAAAGTAAGTAATTGTCTTAGAAAGAAATTGGCAATGTTTATAGAAACATTCGCGCATAAAAGGCATATAACAGGGAAATATGTTTATGCTGCATGCCGGGATTGTGGTTAGTGACGCTGGCTGCCACACCGAAGGGCCTGAGTTCGAATCCTGTAGAAAGCGTGGATGTGGTCAAATGTATAATGTATGTGCGGCATGAAGGCACTCTACCGCGAGCTGAAAGTCTTGTCGAGAGGCTAGTGGTAGAGAAAGAGTAGGTATGGAGTAGGGAAAGAGTGGTAGAGAAGTCTCTTAGACTCATCCCTCCAGGACTTCAGACTCCCCTTTCAAAATTGGGATAAAACTGAGCAAAGTCGCCTGTATGGCGCCCGAGGCTGCTGACAACAACAGACCCAAGCTTGTCTCCTTTCTACTTCGTGATCTTGATATCAGACAAGCGAGATTAGTCACAACAATAATATTAACAATGCTCGTGTTAAACATTCATATTAAACAAAATTGTTCATATTAAACAGAAGTGTTGACATTAAACAGAATTGTACATATTAAACATAACTGTATATTAATGGGTTAAAATTGATTCCACTGCTTAATCATTTCCAGTATAATAAAAAATATGTAAGTCAACATGCGATATAATATTTAGAATCAAGTAATATTTTCAAACGTTTTAGATGTGTGAGTTCGAGGCTAGATCAACCTAAAACATTATTAAAATTAAAAAATAAAAAAAATATGTGATTTATCTCTGAATGCAATCTGATCTTTTCGCATTTACAGTAAAAGACATTCATTAATACTTTATTTAATGTTTTCTAAAATATTGACATAATTAATTTTATTATTTTCATATGATTATGTTAGTTATGTGTTAGGTGTCACAAAGAATTGTTAGCAGTTCGATTTTTCTTAACATCATCTCAGTTTACGTCGTAAACAATCAAATCAGATCCCTCATGACTTTTGCTTAACAATAATATCAAAGAAGCAACTTCAACTACATAGAATAGAGCATCTACCAAAATCAGTTGTAAAAGAATTTTTAAAATGGTACCAGTCTTTGCTAAATACGTCTACTACCAGACTCTCACTCTCGTCTGCTACCAGAAGGATTTTCAAAATAGCACGAAAATGCAGTAAATTCAAATCTTAGTTTGGCAATAAATTCGAATGAAAAGATTTGCTGTATTTCAAAGCTGTTGTTTGTCTCTTGATTTAAAAATGTGCACAAATTTGATCCTAACTACAAACTTGCTTCAGAAGAAAGTTTGGCTCACCAGAATAGTGAACAATTATACAGAGCGAGGAACACATGCTTCCTGATGATAAATCCTTTGAAATTACCTCTTGACTACAATAAAAATATCGATTCAATGCTTATCTTAAGTACTATTTTTCACATTTTTAATTAACAATTTATATAAATATTTCAAATTAAAAACAGTATTTTAATAAGCATTTTAAATTATTAGACCAAAAACAACGTTAGACCCCCCCCCAAATGGAATATTAGTCGCGAAACGGCACTTTGCGTTGAATCACTGTAAGCGGCATATCACTTTTCGAATTGTTGCATTCAACTATTATCGCCTTGTATTATATTTAAAGAAATTATATAATGAAGAGCGCATGAATGTATACATGTTTTTCATACTATGAAAAACCGACAGTACCTAGAATTATCAACTTTTGAATAACCTAGTCCTCCACCCGAATATGGGTACCTGGAAGCCCGAATTATGAATTTCGAACTCGTTTTATTATCTATTTCATATTTTGTAAAACTTTAACAAATTTTTGATTAACAAATTCAACAATTTCAAAACGAGTAGTGGCAACACTGTATGGAAAATATTTTTTTGTAATCTCTAACGCACGAGACTGTCTGTCAGAAATTCTAAAGATATGCTGTTTTTTAATATTTTGTGACTTTGCTTTTGAATCGAATTTTATGTGGCGGAAGCGCCAAGAACGTGATATTTAACAGATAAAGTAAACACACAAAATTTTATATCTATGGCAACACTTAAAGCTCAAACGGGAATTCTAAACGTATACTGCTATACTGCTTTTAAAATTTTTGTAATGTTGCTGTTGAATTGTATATTGCGTAAGTGCGAAGAAAATTATGCTTAATAATAAAGTTAAAAAGACAAAAATAATAGATTAACAGGAATGAATGTAATAGTAGACTGAGAGATCGGCGAGAACCTAAAAAACCTTAACATACTCTTTTGGGGTGCTAAAACTAAAAGGTGAAACGTTTCAGGCATTTTCATTATTTATTTACTTTTTTTTACGTTTAAGTTATATTAACTGATATCTTTTCGTATTAATATTTGTAGATATATGATGGAGCCAGATCGACTGATCCCGAGATAGGCACGTTCTGTAGTACTGTGACGCCCCCACCTCTAACCACATCCGGTAGCACGGCCACATTAGTTTTTCATTCAGATTATAGTAATGAAGGTACCGGATTTCACATTGCTTACACATCAGTACCAGGTACGTATCCCAATCGTGTGGAGAAGAATTAGAAAAAAAAATAGCTGGTATAAAGTGTAACAAAATTTTTCATGATTACGATTATGTTACTGAAATTACGTTGCTAAACCATCAGTTGTTTTAAAATCGTTAAAGAAAATATCTAAAATTTGAGAAAAATTTAGTACGTAAAAGTCTGAAATTAAACAATCAGAAAAACTGGAAGTCCACATTTTCAATTATAATCTTCACATTTTTATCATTCAGATAAAACGTAACTAATATATGAAATCCATCTAAACCCTTGTGATCCCATTTTCCACGAATTTGTTTGCATTTTAGCTACCAATATTGGAATTTAGTAAGAAGCGTCCTCATTTGAAACAGCTGACAGTATAACAGAGGCTAGATATTGTGCTTTTTGAGACGCTCGCTTTTGAGGAATAGAAATATGGGGTACTCAAAATTTTGGATAATATTCTCACCCAAAAGATGATTGCAGTGATTAATACATAGTTATGAGATCTTGTGTTGGATCTCACAAAGCTTCTTGACAAGAAGTTCGATGAGCATTTGAAAATGATAACTCTATCATCACGTATGATTATCATATTATCGATATCAGAATCCCCCTTGATTATTCGTTAAAAAAAGACAAATTTAAAATAAAACCAGTCAAATTGTAAACATCACTCAAAAAGAATGCACAATGGAATGCAGCTAAATAATGGGCAAATGGAAACATGGATAAATAAAATTTTGTAAGTAGGAGTTCTTTACCACTTAACATATTAAAAATATTATTAATTTTTATTAATTTTTGTGTTTGTTTGTTGTAAGTAAACTACTGTGGATAATCATTTCCCCACCCTTTTACACCAATGTCTAGATATAGTGTTCCTCTACATATCAAGGAATAACTGAACAACATCGATTCACAGTGAATTGCAACTAGTCTATGATGGCAGCAGAATGAATTGAAGAAATATGTGCCAATTGCTTCAGAGGTTTTGGCACTGTGATTGCAACTAGTGTTACAGTTTATGTAGCTGGCCACGAGAGGGCGCAGCGTTTTTTACTTTTAGCTTGATAACTTTTATATTTTTCATACCGCATTGCGGATTTTTGAGATAGATGTAGTGGCAACCAAAAAAAAAACATGATGAATGTTCTAATGTAAGCATACAATTCTTGTACATAGCTGTAAATAAAACTTCTGTGTGATAAAAATGAAAAGGAATTCTAAGCGTTCCTGTGGATATTTATTAAGAAAGGTAAGCAAACTTTCACTTATTGATGTTATTAAATGTAAATAATAAGAATAAGAAAAAAAAAAAAGATCATAAGTTGCAACATGGTGCCGAAACCCGGGATAACAGTGATCTTTAGATACATTGTGATTTAAGTATTTATTATTGTTCGATTAGTGATTGAATATTGATTATTAAGATGGATAAGTTAAAAGCACTAAAAAAGAAGCGAGGAATGTTAAGAGCATCAGTAACAAGACTGATAGCTAAAATGGAAAAGGAAATAGAATCGGATAATATTAAATTTGATTTATTAGAAGATGATTTATCCATCTTAAATGAAAATGAAAAGGATATACTAATATTGAACACTGAAATCGAATCTATCCTAACAGATGAAAAAGAGTACGAAACTGAAATACAGGATAGCTTGGAATATAAAAATAAAATTACCTTGTGTAAATCGAAGATCAGTAGAATATTTAGAAATAGAAAATGTGTTAAATTAAATGAGTTGCCATCTAATTCTGCTACTATAGATACGATAGAGAACACAAATACAAATGGCGCTAAACTTCCGAAACTAACCATAAATAAATTTAAAGGCGAAATATGTGAATTTCAAAGTTTTTGGGCTCAATACGAATCTGCTATACATAATAACTCTGCTTTAAAGGATGTAGACAAATTTAATTACCTCACATCTTTACTAGCGGACACAGCTTTAATGTCAATAAAGGGATTACCGTTAGTTGCCGAAAATTATGCTAAGGCAATAAATATTCTGAAAGAAAGGTTTGGTAGAAAGGACATTTTAATAAATGCACATATGAATCGTCTGCTGAATTTAAAGCCAGTTAAAAAAATGGATGATATTAAAACATTACGTAACTTATATGATAGCTTAGAAATTGAAATTAGAAGCCTTGATTCCCTTAACGTTACTTCAAATTCTTACAGCTATTTTATTATGCCCACTGTTAATGAGGATACTTCCTAGCGAATTGGTTTTAGAGTTTAATCCATCTTTAACCCGTGACACAGAAACACAGTGACTAACATTTTGGAATTTCTGAAGAAGGAAGTTGAAAGCAGAGAGCGTACGTTTTTCCAAACATCGCCAAACTATTCCGAGTTTAACATTAGAACCGAACAACATAAACATCAATCGCGAGACCTTATTAAAAGTGAGAAATATCATACTGCCTTCAAAAACAAACATTTTGTTCCAGCAGTTGCGTCGTTGAATACGAATACATCAACAGCCGATTGTATATTTTGTGGGAAGATAGAAAATGAATCTTTGAAACCTTCTACTTCAAATTGCGCAATTCCAATTGAGGAAAAAGAAAAAAAATTAAAATTGGCTAACAGATGCTATTTATGCTTTCGTAAGTCTCATACATCTGCCCGTTGCAGCTCGGATATACGCTGTGATTTATGTTCATTAAGGCATAATACTATTTTACATGATAATAAATTTGAAAATAAACGGGAAAATAAAGGTGAGCTTAAAACAGACACAGTGGTGGCGTCAATTTCGGAAAGAGATAACAAAAATAGGGTTTATTTACAAACTGCAAATGCAATAGCTTTAGGTCAGAATAGAAGAAAAAATGTAAGACTCATTTTCGATTCTGCCTCTCATAAATCTTTCATCCTGACAGAAGTATCAAAAGAATTAAAATTAAGTGTTGTGGGGGAAGAACTTCAGATTTACACCTTCGCCTCTACTGAGCCTACAGTTAAAAGGCTAAAAAAGGTTAAGGTTATTCTTAAAGATATATGTGGACCTGGGAAAATAATAATTGAAGCTCTTGAAACTCCAGAAATTAATCAAGCTCTTATTGGTATACCAGGAAAGGAAATACTTAATTATTGTAAGGAAAATTCGATAAGACTTGCTGATGCTACAGATATAGGTGTCCATAACTCTCAAATATCAGTATTAATTGGTAATGATTATTACTGGAAAATAGTCACTACGAAGTTTAAAAGATTATCAAAGGGTCTTGTTGCCTCTGAAACCTTATTTGGTTACACTATAAGTGGAACTGAGGCATTAAGTAATGTTTCTACACTTCGTTCCGGAATTACGGTAATGAATGTTGTTGAGAATACTTCACATCCACATGATTTGGAAATTAGTGCAGCTCTAAAAAGGCTATGGGATTTAGATGCAATTGGAATACATGACTATTCAGCAAATGAAAATGACACTGAAGTTATGCGTAGATTTGAAGAAACTATTGAATATAAAACCAATCGTTATGAAGTTTCATTACCTTGGAAGGACAATATGAACAAAATAGGTAGTAATTATAACATCGCCTTAAACAGATGGAACAGTTTTACTTAGAAGGTTTAAGAAAATCCTGAAATTTATGAATTTATGACAAGTATTCAAGTGTAACTGAAGATTATCTAAATACAGGAATAGCTAAAAAGGCTCCGAAGAATTCTACGGAAAACATCTATTATTTGCCACACCATTGTTTAATCAGAGAAGATCACGATTGTACGAAATTAAGGGTCGTATTAAGGGTCATACTCATGACCCTTAATTTCGTAATTAACCTTTAAAGGATTGCTTACATTCAGGACCAAATTCAAAGCCTGAATTATTAGATTTGCTAATTAAATTTCGCCAACACAAAATAGCATTTCCTGCAGATATCGAAGTTGCTTTTCTACAAATTCTGTTGACGCCTGAGGACAGAAATGCAGTAAGATTTCTTTAGACTACAAAGGAAAAGGAGCAACCAATGATTTTAAGAATGACGCATGTAATATTCGGAGCAACCTGTAGCCCCTTTTACTAGCAGCAACTATAAAGCATCACGCAAGAAAGTTGAAAGCACAATATTCGAAGATCTGTCAGCTTCTTGAAGAAACTTTTTACGTAAATGATTTGATTCATGGTACAGATGATGAAGAAGAAGCTGCAGAAATTTATGAAAGATGTGAAAAGGAATTTATGATGCTTGCTAGTTTCAATATGAGAAAGTGGAGGAGCAATAACGCCCAATTACATGCGATTTCGAATGCAGCTGAAAATACGAAGTTTAATGAAGACGGAATGAATAGCACTTTGTTAGGATATATTTGGAATCATGAAGCAGATAAACTGAAATTTCGAATCAAAGATGAATTACTCAAGGATCCGGCTGAGGAAATAACAAAACGGAAGATTCTTCAAGTTGCGGGCGAACTATACGATCCTATCGGTTTCATATCTCCCTTGTGTTGTTGCAGCTAAAATGATGATGCAAGAATGTTGGCAAAGAGGTTACCAATGGGATGCACCACTTGATCAAGAATTGCAGAATCGATTTAAAACCTGGTATAATGATATTCCTAAATTAAAAAATGTTGAAATTCCAAGACATTATTTTCAACAATCTGTCAAAAAAGGAAATCTGTCGAATATTCAATTGCACTGTTTTTTACAGATAGTAGCCAAAAGGGATATGGTGCCGTTGTATATTTGAGGATACAATGAAAATGAGTTAACAAAAACATCATTTGTTATGTTCCAAAAGCAAGAGTTGCTCCCATAAAAAAGGTTACGTTACCTCCTCGACTGGAAGCTTTTAGGAGCAGTCATAGGAGCTCGACTCATCACATACATTCCGACATTCGTTGAAAAACATAGAAATGAAGATTTATATGTGGACATATTCAGAAATTGTATTACATTGGTCAAGGCTGATCCGACAAAATGGAAACAATTTGTACGAAATAGGTTGTCTAGAAATCCAAGAGAAACTG